AATGCGAACAAAGGGGGAGAATGGGAGAGAAGAATAAAATCTGTTGTCTGTATTTGAAATAGAACTAAGTCACAGATTGCATTTTCAATTTAAGAAAAAGTAATTCTCTCCTTGTTTATTAGTGATGTCAAGTGACCATGTATAACTGTGTATAGACCAAGAGAGGGTTGTACAGGGCCAGCAATTATTGATGGACATCACGAAATGATAAATAAAGAGCTTGCTTGAAAGCAGTATTCACTGCACACAGATGTCTGGACTACAGACAGATGTCTTAAATTGTCTACTCAAAGCGCTTTTGTACTATCACAGTAATCTAAATTGCTTTGCATTTGGTTCCAGATACTTCCACAGACTGTTCTCCACTGCACATAAATTCCTATCCTCAAATTTTTACTGGACTTTAAGGACCAGATTACTTCCTGGTGTATCTCTTTGTCTTAATTCATTTCTATTGAGCCCATTTGATGCAGCCAAACAGTTGAAATTATATTCCCAATTATAGGAAATCTCATCCCTAACTACATGGGTTATGGTCCTGGTTCAGAGGAAGATGTGCACTGCCCTTGTGCCACCACAATGAAGGACATGACACTCAGAAAGCACAGCAGTAAGAAAATGAGGTAGAAGCATAGCTTTAAACAGGAAAAGGCTAGGTTTAGACTTCTGCTAAGTAGTACCCTACTGAGGGTAGGTTGAGACACTGCAATAGGCTGACCAGTGAGGCTGTGGATGCCCCCTCCCTGGAAGCATTCAAGGCGAGGCTGGATGGGGCTGTGAGCAACCTGGTCTAGAGGGAGGTGTCCCTGCCTGTAGCAGGGGGTTGGAACTGGAGGAGCTTAAATGTTCCTTCCAACCCAAACCATTCTATGATTCTATGATAAACTATAATTGAAGTAGTAGTCTAATCTTTTTTCTAAGAACCTTTGCTCACTGAAGACCTCCTTTCACTGGATTCTCTGGACATTGGTCCCAGATCTGAGCTCTTTCATGCCTAGCTCCTAATACTGTAAGTGCTGTCTGTGCAAAACACTGTTCTTCTCAAGGTCACAGTTGACACTCCTGGGGGGAGGCTTGTTTCAAGTCTCCTTCCTGTACCCTATTCAGAGAATAAAGGACTACCATAGCATGACTTATAAAACTTCAATATAGGAGCATTTCTTCTTTTAAACCTGCCAGTCCCTTGTTTAATCTGTGAATTAATCTGTCAGCCATAAGTACTGCCCTATACAGGGGGGAGACCCAAGAAAGCTGCCCATAGCTCTGAGACAGATGGCTTCTAGCTCTCTGGGGATCTGAACTGTACTGTACTCCCAGAGCAGGACCATGCCTAGCAGAAAATCAAGTCAGTGATGATTTAGGAAATCATTCATATTCCCAGAGGAGTAATATCTTGCAACAGAGACAGCCCAGACTAAGTTGCTAAGTTCTGGTTAATGGCCTCATTCTATCTAATGTGTCTGTTCTTGCAGTTAGTGCTAACAGATGAAACGTGTACTTTCTATCTCCCCTTACACTTATTTATTTAGCTATTTTTACATGGAAAGTATTTGAATTAGCCTAGCACTTAAACACAGTCTGGGAACAGATTCATGGTGGGACACGGATATAGGGCAAGACAGATAGGGTACTATATTGAATAAATATTGTTTTACATTGTAACCCCGTAAAGAAAATGAGCAATAAATTTTCTGGTGGACGTTTCACGTGGGTGAGACTGCAGAATCTTGGTTTTATTATTCCTATCAACAATGAATTATCTATTATCAAATATGAGAAGTACTGTTAGTTGTACTTTATTTATCATGTATTTTTGCCTTCAAAATGAGAAGTCAAAACAGCTTTCAAAGAACAGCTAGCATATAGCCCTACTAAACTGAACAGACAGACAGTCATTAAGATCTTCTTAACACAAATGTCTTGACACTATATGAACTCATCCTACAGCCCAGTTACTGCTTGCTGTGGGAGAACTATCAGTTACCAGGCAGGATGCTGGCAATGCTAAGCCATGCTGATACTGGAAAATTAAATGCACTTATTTGCACACAGTAGTTATCCCAGGAAGTACCTTCTTCCTGTTCTTACCCTGACACTAACGAAAGTGCCAGAAGGTAAGCTTTGTCATTCTTAAAGATTTTGGCCATAGAGTTTGAGTGAAGTCTTCTTGATTTCAAATTGTTAGAAATAAAAATTGTGACAGACAAAATGTCTTCCTTTTTAATTAAGTCAGCTGACAATTTAGGTTTTACTGGGTATAAATAGTCTTAGATTGATACGTGCTGCTTTACAGCCCAGAGTCACAATTACAAATTAAGACAGGAGTGTACATTAACAAAAGAAATTTAAAATAAATAAACAGAGAAGTAAATATCACTGGGAATTAATCTACAATTGAATGGTAAAAAACAGAGGGAAAAAAAAAGAATGGAACAATCAGACAGAAACTGTGCAAATAATCTAGATCTTTCAGTATTTCTGTGATAAATCTGAGGTGCAGCAGGGCTGCTGTAATTCTCCTTCCACTGCAGTATGTGGTTATGAGTCACCATGACCCTAAAATCCCTAAACTTTTTTAGGAAAAAAAAATAATATTCTCAGAAAGCATGGTGAGGCATTGGCACAGGCTGCCCAGGGAGGTGGTGGAGTCATCATCCCTGGAGGGGTTCAAGAACCGTGTGGTTGTGGCACTGAAGGACGTGCTTAGTGGGCATGGTGGAGATGGGTCGGACTAGGTGATCTCAGGGGTCTTTTCCAACTGTAATGATTGTATTATTCTATGAATCTATTAAAATTGCAAAAACTGAATGAGGCGCCACCAGGATCCTGCCTTGTGCGTGTATTGGCAAGTGGAAGGATTCATGGAAACCTGGCTGGAGTTTAGGGTAGAAAAGCAGAAACAGCTTGGACATCTAGTATAAAACTGATGTAATAGGTATGCCAACAGTGCAGATCTGCTTAAATGTCAGATAGATTTCAGGCAAGCTGGAGGAAATCTCAGGCACATCCCCAGTGGTACTTAAATCAAGTTTTGGAAAAATGTATTAACATTTTTTTTAATATTTTAAATATTGACTGCACTGAGAAAATAGGCTTAATTATAATATTAATTAATCAAGCAATAATAAACACAATTTGCAATGCAGTGCTTAAGTCCTGACTGCACAATCATGGTTTTATCTTTTAATATTAGTGGATTCTATATAAATAGTGAGGGCTCTCAGAAAAACTCCTTCTAAAGTTAAAACTTCATCAGATTAGGTAATTTCAAAGGGAAATAACAGGAAAACAAGCCAGGTGGGAGAAAACTTTTTTTTCCTGAGGTAAAATCGAGATCTCAGAGCAAGCTAAACTTTGTTTTTACATTTGATTTTATTGTCTTTTTAATACTTCTGAGGTGGTGCAGTAAGGATAGCTGCAACATTTAGCTCCAGAATAAGTGCATCCATTTGTATAAAACGATCTTGATCAATAGTTATTCATTTTAAGAACAAACAGTGAATAAACGTTGAAGAAGATGCAGCCGCCCAAGGGAGCAGAGCATTCCCCATAGGAGGGTCTCAGGCTCCCTCTCCAGGATGCTGTTGTTAATTACAAACCCTGCAGCTCTGCCCTCTGCCTTCATGAGTGCAGAGAGAGGAACAAAACCGGACTGTCACAGCATAAACCTAAGACAAACGGATCCCCAGTATAAAATACATAATAGAGAGAGGCTTTTTTCGCACATCTCACCTCTCAAAGAGTGTTACAAAGTCAGTATTCTTTATTCCCAGTAAAGTTATTTGAAACTACAGAAAGAAAATAGGGAAATTGTTCCCAAAAAAAGTAGGGAAATCAAATTTGGCCACAAAAGGGGAGAAATGAGAAATGCCACAGGGGAACTCTGACTCTAACAGTTAGGAATCTATTTGCACAGAGTGACTGACTGCTGGACTAAATGATGGCTGTCCTTGAAGATAGGAATGCTGAATTCCTGCTCTCAATTACGTGCAGTAATCAAGCAGTGATTGCTTTATTATCCTTTATGCTATTAATATTGCTGTAGTAATGCACAAGCTGGCTACATTCTGGCCACCAGCATCTCAGCTCATCAGCCCCAGAGGTGTCACAAATCCATGCATCACCCACAGTGATCTGAACGCACCCAAAGTGGTGATGGTGCACCCACAGAACCATCTGGACCAAAAACCATAGGCTTAATTTCTCTGCCTTCAGCAAGCAGCAGATGCAGGGTCCTCATTTCTGATCTGCTTGCAGTCAGATCCACTCTTACATAGTTTTGGTGAAATTTTTCCCCAAACTGGCTGACCACCACTAATAAGAATTACTTTTGATTTAAGAGTGCTACAGGCCACCAAGTCTGATAGTTCAGAAGAAATTCTTTACTCAGAGGGCACTCAGCCCTGGCACAGGCTGCCCAGAAAAGCTGTGGATGCCCATCCCTGGAGATGTTCAAGGCCAGGTTGGGTAGGGCTTTGACTAACAAGATCCAATAGGGGGTATCCCTTGCCCACTGCAGAACAGTTGAAAATAGATTATCTTCAGGTCTAAACCATTCTGTGTTTTGGTTTGAGATATCCATCAGATTCTGCTATATAGTACCTACAACACTATTTGCAACCAATGACTTCAACAGTCAAGAGTCCCTTCCTTCTTTATTACATCTACTGCCTTGAAACTACACTTTAGTTCAGATGTAACCCCAGTTCTCCAGGAAAGGCCATAAAAGCTTCTCCACAGGAAAAACAAAGTGAAAATGAAGCAACTCAGAAACAATAAATTACCATATCCTACCAGAACAGCACTTCTTACCTCCTCCACCACCACGCAGAAACCTGCAGCTATTCTGGAGCCAAAGAAACCTGGATAGAAATAGATCTAATCAACAAAACAAAAGAGCAGGTGACATGGGATATAGGTTTGTAATTAGGAGGACAAACAGCTGAAAATTGTTTTCACCACTATAAAGAGGGCAGCCTTTCCTCTTAAGATGGCATAGGCAAGAATCTTTTAATTTTATGGAAAGCTGATGGTAGAAATTTGTATTTTCTTGTGACTATTAGAATTAAAGATACTGAAGCAAAGCAAGGGCACAATGAAATTGGGTCTGGTGCTGAGGTGGGAATTTCATGGTAGTTAAGCGTTAACTGTTTTTCTTAAGGCATCAGTGCTCTGAGCTTCTTCTGTGTTACACCTAACTTTCCAATAGTAACCAAGGCAATCTTATTTTGTAGTATCTAGGCTTGTAATTCCAACACCCAGGCTTAAGTTTCTGTGCACGAAAACTTGTAAATTCTGCTAATCCTTGTTTTTCTTTGTTGTTTTCTGTTGTTGTTTGGTTTTTTTTGTGCAGGATATTATTAATAGGATTACTCATCTCTACAACATGGACCCAAGTGGCATCAGGTAACACTGCTGTGAGCAGCATTTACCTAAAGATTTCTATGATCATTTTTTCATTTATAGAAATGATTAATAGACTAATAGATTTTTTTTTTTCATCATTAATTTTTTTTTTTTTTTAATCATTAATAGATTGGAGAATTTCTTGTCTCTCTTTTTTTATTCTATTCCAGTTTAAAAGTTCAGTTTAGAGCAGCAAACTTTGCTCTCTTGACCCTATTGTAGAATCCTGTTTCCATCACTGGCTGCTCAAAGTAGCAGTGTCAGCTCACCAGTCACAATTACTATTGGAATACATGTTCATGGCTGTGTTGGAAATACTGGCTGGTGATTTCTTCACTTATTTTTGTTTGTTTGTTCTTGTTTTTGTGCTTTGTTTTTAAATCTAATATCTCTTGTTAGAAGATACAGAGATATAATTCCTGGTATAAAACTGTGTGGGAAGTAGAGGGTTTCTATTTTTTATCTTTAATTCTGTATTTCTGTCTTTCAATGCCTTCACTATAGGACTCATGACTTCAGAGTGCTTGAAGAACTTTTTGCATTTAACCCTGAGTATGGAACACTTTAAGGATAAATATTTATCTTTTTCTGCTGTTGGTAAGTTGACACAAAAGAAATTAGAGGGGGGAATTGTAAATGGTGAAGTCTTCAAAATCATTTGAGTTCTTCCTACTAGAATTTGCAGGATTGTATTAAGCTAATGGAGTTGTGGAAGTAGGTTATTTCTTGTTGTTTTTAAAGCTACCTTTATTTTTGTGTAAATTATAGCCTTGTTAAGTTATTACTTAGTATCAAAGCTAATCATGACTGCCTCTGAACCGAAATTGAAATGCTCTCTGTAGGGAAAATATGGTAGCTGTTGGCATGTTGATGCTGATGGATATTGTTTCTGGTACACAGACTTTCTTTAGTTACCACATACCCTATTCACAAAATGCAGTAGCTTTAGCTGGTGCTGTGTTACTGGTTTTGCACTGACAGTCATCCACTTTCTTGCTTACAGCTCATGGACCCTGTAGACGGGTATAAATTCTTAATGAAGCAGGGAAACTAGCTGGGCCTTCTCTGGCTTAGTAATCAACAAGTGATACTTTCAAGTGAGAAATGCCACAGGTTGTACTAGAAGGTCAGAGTGAGATAACTTGAGAACAATAGACATTAAGGCAAAGTTTGTGTTAGCTTTCAATGCTAGTTAGTTGTCTGACTAGGTGCAGTCAATTACACAGCATCTGTTTTTCAAGAACATTACACTTATGTCAAATCCTTCTTACTGTATGTTTCTGTGCTTAAGCATCTTCACCCATATGTAAACAGACTCTGCACTGAGGTATGTACAGCTTGAAAATATCATATTTTAGCCAAAAATAATTACTTGATAGTTCTGTAGACTGAGAGATTTGATCTAAGCATTAGTGTGTTTTGTTGTCCTGGTTAAGATTCCCAAAGAGTCTCCATTGGCTAAGCAGGCATTAGAGAGAAACATGGAGCTGTGCCAACCCTGGAGCAGCACCCTGATACTGCAAACTATCATCGTCAATCCATGACAACTGTGACACTGATCTGTCTGTTCTGTATTTACCCAGGCTTTCTCTCCGATTAGGATTTCACATCCTGCCATGTTGGTCATTTATTATTTTTGGCCCTTCAGCTACCAGTGTTTCCTGTCCTAGTCTGTTTGTAATCTTGTCCTACTTCCCTTTTCGTATAATTCCTTGCAGAATTTTATCTGCAATTCTCTCTTACCTCTTAGCATGTGGTATGTAGTCAAGCCATAGATGATCTAAGACAGCTGAACCCTAGGGGCAAGGGTAGGTTTCTATGAGCCTACACGGAAGGGGTTGTACTAATTAATGCTGATCCCAACTAATTGCTCATAGATCGATCTGGTATAACCTGGGAGCTAGACGAGGCCCTGGCATCTCAGTGTGGCTACACAATAACTTACAGCAGCAGGAATAGCATTGTATTTCGTGCTTCAGCGCTAAGTTGTCATTCTCACTTGGAGGTAAGTCAAACCAAGATGCAGTGCTGTTGTGTATAACCTCTAGGTGGAAGATGAAGAAATTATTAGTAGGTGTTTACTGAGGGGTTGTTATGTGTTGAACATCGACTAGCAGAAAATTATTTAATTCCCCTCAAATCTGTCCAGAGGTTTGAAAATAAGCCTTGGTATTGACGTCCAAATGTACTACATAGTAGCACAGATGAGCATAGGAAGAAGCACATCACATGTCCTTGAAGGACAACTGCCTTTTCCTGGATAAAAACAGGGAATCCATCTGGCTGTTGTTCTGCTCTGCTGTAGTGTTTTGTGTCTGAGATGGCATAATGGTTAATCTCAAAACTTTCTCTGCGTGTGTTCCATGCCCACTGTTGCTATGCTGTAAAACACAAGATCAGGTACATCTCAGGATGTGTTTTCTCCTCTCAAGCTCTGAAGCTATATAAAAGCTTCATGAAGCTCCTCCCCATTGTATTTGTGTGGCTGTGTAGTTATACGCCTCCATGTGTACAAAGTATATAGTTAACCAAGTAGTAAACAATCTCAGCAATGGAGTTGTACTTCTGTGGAAAGGTTGATGGGTGGATTTCCTGAGTTAGGTCACAAGAAGAGCTAATGTCCTGCTTGGGAAAATCAGTTTAACATGTGTTTCCTGTGTCCATGCAGAAAGATGTGTTTACAGTAACTATACAGATTAAAGTGTCCCATACTTCTGATATGAAAAATGCTACAACTCATCTGAAAAGTGCAAGTTGTCCTTGTGGCCCATGGAGTCCAAGAGAGTTAGTATGTGAAACCAACTACATGGAGGTAAGCATTAGAAGTTTCTTATGGTAAAATACCTTGAGGTGAGGGGGTGAATATTAGAAGATGCTGCATTTGGAAGCAGATCAAATGATAGGAATGAGTATCAGAAACAAAGCGTATACCTACTAAGTTTGCTGGGGAGAACTCTTGAGGGAAGAACTCTCTTGACTCCTGCTGTTCTCTCCAAAATTTTCTGGCTTTAAATAGAAGTGAAAACACTAAAACTAGATAATAGATAAGCTGAAATCAAGAGACAAGGAAAAAGGGCCACCAATACTTACAGCACCTTTTTCTATTCAGGTTTCTATCTGGAGAGATGTTCCCCAAACTGAGAAGGATATTGTCTTGAATGAACCTGAGGATTGGATTCTTTCTTATCAGGAGGTAAAAAGCAGGTTTTTTCTTGCAAGTAAAAGCTAGTGCTACTTCTAACACTATCATCGTTCAATGTCCACACAGTATAAATTGTCCTTTTCAAACGAATACTTCAGTAGGAAGAGCTCCTTTACCAACTGGTTTTTAGGAAAGAAGTATTCCATATTAGAAATACAGAAAGCTGCAGGCCTAATCTCCAAGGAAGAAATGGAGGCAAGGTTCTCAGCTTAAAAGTCATTTTCCCTAACAAGAAGTTGTGCAACAAAATCTCTAAGACTTCGTGGCCCAGGAATGAGCTGCAGATAGGCTTTTTTCTTTCTTAGTCCCTATAATTTGAGCACAGCAGTGCTGCCAATGTTCTGCCACATCATCTTCAAACCAGAAGGGATGCCTGGGTTTTGTTTTGTTTTTTTGTTTGTTTGTTTTTTTGTTTGTTACTCCTGATACAGAAAGCTTTCTTCGTGTAAGAGGATGAGCAATGCAAAGCTTAAGGGCTATCACATGACCAGCACTTAGAATAAGGCAGCAGAACTGCTGGGCAGCTGAATACAATAAATCATCCACTGTAGTAAATAACTCACTTTAAAGAGCTTGTTCAAACTGTTAATGAATTTCTCTGGGTAGGCAAAAGCAGGGGAAGCCTCAGTATGGCAGATAGTATTTCATCAACCAGAAGAAAAAAGAGCTCTGCTTGTAAGTGATGCTTGGAGGGCTGGCTATGGACTCAACACCACAGAAACCAGAATTCTGCTGCGAGTGCCATATAGCACTGCACAAATTCAACTGGTCAAGGTTGGTACACTGCCTTCAACCTAGGAAGTTGTTAGACTGTACAGGTCTAATGAGATCTCCTTCTGCAGGCTCAGGGAATTACCTTTTCTGCAGTGAGATCAAGTACATTTTACAAACAGCAGTGGATGATCCTGATGGTGGATACTGCTATGGCATGTCCTGTAGGTGAGAAATGTGGTACCTTACCCTACTGCTTAAATATATGGAGTCTGGCTTGCAACTACAGTAATGACCTGACAGTTTTCTTATCTTGTCCCTAAGATGGTGTGAACTACATTAACAAAACAATCATCTGGACTGTTCCAAAATATTTTCAAGCACTCTGTGCTGGAGCAACTGGCTTTAAGGATGTGCTTGTTGAAGCTGGTGTGAATCTACACAAACTCTCTGCTGAAGAAATGGCCTCCAGGAAATATGTGTTGTCTAATGACTTAAATACAATTACAGTGAAGATACCTATAGGTGCAGAAGGTGGCTTTTACAAGGTTAGTCATGTTGGATGGCAGACAAAGTAGATTTTCTGTTGAGTCATTTTTGTGGGTTTTGTTTTTGTTTTGTCTCTTTTTAGGGTTTTTATTTTTGTGGTGGTCACAGGATGGTGATATATAGAATTCAAATAGTGATAGAATACTGATGCATCCTGTATTCCTGGGCAGGAGTAATTGTTCATTCTGTTCCTTCCAAGTGATAAGGGAAGGGAAGAAGTAAGGAAAGGAGGAAAAAGGGAAATCAAAGGTACAAATAGCTCTTGTGTGCGTTGCATTGTGAAGACTCTTAATAACAAGCAAAGATGGACACAAATCTATAAGGGAATATTGATCTGTCTCCTACCTCATGTTAACATAGAGCTTTGGCTTCTCTGATGTTACATTCCAAAGCTATAAAACATGTAGCTCTTATCATATAAAACATGTAGCACTTATCATATTTTACCGGAGAAAAAAAAAAAAAGGCACTGAAGAGAATGAGAGCACATGATTTGTTTACAAGATCATGTGGTATTGGGATGCCTTGAGAATGTAGCTCTAAATCTAGTAGCTCTTGAAGTGAACTGAGTCCTGGGCAAATGCTATAACAACTGAGCTTTAGAGAAGTTGAAGGAGGAGCTATTTCCCTGATTAAACAGTCTCCTGCTTCTTTGGAGGCAACATGTGGGGGATGACTTCAGAAGGTAGTCTCTTGAGTATCCTGTGAATCCAGACTTTAGAGAACTACTGGCTGTAATAGTGATATAGGAAGCACCACATAAGAGGGTCAGCTCCTCACAGATGTTGATTGTTTGTTTGTTTGTTTTTCCCCAAACTTCCAAGCATAGAAGTGGCCTCACAGAGCAGAGGAGGACAACTATTTGGAGCTATAATTCTAGCAGAGTCTGTAATGCTATGGTATGACTTTGATTGTAATGTAGAGTCATATTCTACTGAAGGGTGTTCATTATGAAATTGCAGACTTCCGTAAGCAGTGGAAAGCATGGGGCAAAATACTCCATCAACCTGTTCTTGGAACACCAGTGGGAGGATAACAAATGGGGACTAACCAAGTATACCATCATCAAGGAGATAGAAACACCGTTTGAACAAGCAGAACTTGCTGTAACTAACAGTAAGTAGCTTAACATTGTTTACTGAAGGTTTTGGTACTGATAAGAAAATAATGTTGGCTTATGCATTTTCAGACTCCAATCTGAGTGCAAGGCTAATGAATGTTACAGTGGGAATGTTTCTCCTGGATGTGGAGCTTGTGAACTTGACCATTGAGGGGACAACTGTAACTGTACCTGAAGCTATTCAGCATGGATATTTAACATATGAAATTCGATATGCTAATGGAAGCAAAATTTATGTAATACAAGTGTCATTTGATGCACCAGGCATTAAGAAAGAGGTGTGTACGAAAGTATGCACTGCAGTTTACCATGGTGTAGAAATTGTATCACTCACTGTTTCTTCTAAATATGATTTTCCTAGTATGTAACTGATGACACAAGAGAATACACACTGAATGTCACCCTGAAGTTCATCATCCTTCCAACAAATGACACATTTGCTGTCCCTGTTATAACAGTGTCTGCTGTTAAAGATGCTGGTAAGCTAGTGGAATCTGAGCAAAACTTCTTTATCTGGCTGCAACTAGCCTGATGAACTCAGCTGTTAACTGTGCTGCATTCATCCAGTGATGCTGTCAGTGCTAAATAGCACTTTTGAACTCTGCCAGTAGCAAGCATGTTGGCTGACTCTTAACTGTATTACAGTACTACCCAGTGCAAGGGGATACTGTGATGAGGATGACTTCCATCTCATTATCACCCGTGGGAATGTGGACCAAAACTGGCTGCCCTTCATCTCAGATCAGCACCTGATGCCAGAGGTTGCTCAGAAAGACTACTATAGCCTGAATGACAATGGCACTCACTTGTTTGTCTCTGTCCCTTTTCTTTCCTCCCTTGTGGACTATAAGGTAAGGGTACTAGTCTGCATCAATTAAAATACATGCTCTATCATCTATGAGATATTTATATGATACACTATGTCCCTGTAGGTAAAAATAAAGCATCCATTTGGGATAGGCTTCGAATAATTAATGGAGAGCATTTTCTACTCTGGAAGAATGCTTTACAGTTAAGAAAAGCACTTTACAGCCACTTAAAGGCTGAACAACATTTTAATGGAAATTGTACAGGCGATGATATTTAAGTTGCATTGTAAAACTACTGAAAAAGCTCTTTGTGTCTGTCTCTGGATTAAAATAAAAACTCCTGTGGATGTGGTTTTGGTCAAGGATCATTACCTTTGGCTTGTGATAATCTGCTGCCTGAGTATTTCTAGAAAAGTAGTGGATCTTCATTCTCTTGTTTAATCTGTATCATCCCTAGGATATCCATATTTCTGGAGTAATGGCTTCACTTCACTTAACCTTGAAGGATGGCATCACCTTGGCTAATAAGAAGGACTTCTTGATTTCCTGCAGATTTCCACCTTCGGAGCTAATTCGTAAGAGCATTACCTCTAATGCACTGGGTTTAGCTCCTAAATGCTATTCGTTGAGTTGCATAAATAATCACAAACCTACGCAGTTTTAAAGGCTTATAGTATTTATGCTTCTGTGACACCTTATCTGCTTGTCAAATCTTATGCCAAGAAATATGCTACAAGACAAGTGGAATTACAGTGTGAAGAGACTATCCTGTTGGGTCTGGATTTTGTAAAGGAGTCAAAATCTTCTTGCTCTCTCACTTCCAAAGCAAAACCATTTGTCAGAAGGGTTTGGGCTTGTTTGGGGCTTTTTTTTTTTTTTTTTTTTTTTTTTTTGTTATGATGATGGGCCTTGAGGGGGGTGGTCAGCTTATAAACTGTTCATTGAGAAACATACTCATCTGGATTGACTGTGCTGAAATATATTGGTTAGAAAAATCTTTTGGTGAAAGGAAGCTTTCTAAGAATAAATGTGTGAAATCACCACTATTCCATGTATTGCACACAGTAAAGATGCTAAAGAAAAATTAAAATTAAAGACAATTAAAGTCTTGCTCAGATGTTTGCTCTCATGAGCTGCCAAAAGCCTTGCTAGCAGTCCATAAAGAACTTCATTGTAGCCTTCCAGCTCCTTCATTTTGTAACCTCATTTGTACTGAAAAATGTATTTTTCTCTTTCAGAGTGCCTTCCCAATGGCACTGTGGTAATTACTGCAATAAAATTAGTAAGACTTGCAGATCTGGACACCAGCCTGCTTGTCTTAAGAGACAAACAGTGTAAACCCAGTCTAGTGACAAAGAAGTCTGCAACCTTTAAATTCAATGTGAATACATGTGGAACAAGTAGAAAGGTAAGGGCTTAGTAATATTTACTTCCTGTTGGGATGGGTTCAGCACTAGAAATGGCAGAGATTCAGAAGCTGCAAGAAGGTTGCAGCTGACAAGTGGTCACTTCTGAAAAGCAGTATACCTACACTCCAGTTCTGAGAATGCAATAGTTAGGTAGAATTTTTTAGTTAAAACAACTTTTAGAGCCAGAAATGCTCTCTGAAACAGAACTTAGTTTGACACTGTTGACTGTAACAGATTTGAATGTGAGCTTATGTTGTCAATATACACTCAGCTTCCTTGTAGAAGCTGATTAGTAGTCACTAATGAATGCCTAGACTGACTTAATTTACATATAGGGAGAAAAGAACAAAAGATCTAATGTTAAAATTCCAGTTGCATCTAATGCAACTTAATTCTGCGAATGCTAAGTACAAATTCTGCTGACAGAATCAACTGTATGTATGTTTCAGTTCAACAGCACATCTATAACATATGAAAATGATGTACTCTATTTCAGACCTGGAAATGATATACCAGTATACCAGTAAGTACTGTTCCCTAGAAGGAGAATGTCAAAGGTGGTTTTCATTTCTAAAATCTAATCCAGAATGTTTTCCTTCAGATTAAAGTTTGTATGTGTTTACACAATCAAGCACTCAGCTGATGTCAAGTATGAAAATAAGAAGAACCTTCCATCAAATATTAAGCCAGGTTTTGGCTCTTTAGATCTCTCACTGAAGCTTTTTAAAGGTAACTTTTTCTGATCAGGCTTTTTATCAAGGATAGGGTTGGAAAAGCTGCTGATTGTCTTCTTGTTCAACTCTGCCTCCAATGGGGAACGGGGTGACTCAGAGGCAGTTGCTCAAGACCATGTCCAGGCTTTTGAGTAACTCCTAGGGCAAAGTGAAAGACTTTTTGAAGGCTTCATAGGTTTTGCCTTCAGGATGTAACAAATGGCCAGGAATCTACAGTGGATCATACAATGTGCAACCAAGATGTGGGTTTTCTGCTGGGGTAGTCATGTTATCTTGTGTAGTGGTTGGTATCTCTCTGTATCAGCCCTTAAAGTGTGGCTAAGCAGAGGAATTAGTTTATGATTATTGTGACCAGTGTGTGCCAAAGAAAGAAGCTGCATTGATGCAGTTTCTAGGAGGAAGCTTTTCACACAGTGGGTGGTGACACACTGGAGCAGGTTGCCACAGGAGGTTGTGGATGCCCCATCCCTGGAGGCATTCAAGGCCAGGCTGGATGTGGCCCTGGGCAGCCTGGGCTGCTGGTTGGCGACCCTGTGAATAGCAGGGGGGTTGAAGTTAAATGACCACTGTGGGTCTTTTTCAACTCAGGGCATTCTGTGATTCTTTGATAATGCTGCTACAACATGGTAATCTCCTGGCAGAGGAGGCAACTGAAGCCTGAACAAAACTATCACCATCCAAACCAAACCTGTTTGGTTTGGAATGGCTCTGCTCTGATTTTTCAGTGTTTTTCTAGAAGTTGTTTTGAACAAACATCTCATTGCAGTGGATTTCATGGAAGGAATTGTCACTTCCTCCTCTGGATCCTCAGATCTCTTTCTTCACTTAGTTCTTATTTTCTGCTATCACAGCCCTATTTGCTGACACTTAAATACTCTCCCAGTTCTGGTACTGTATCAGAATGAATGATGATGAAAAAACTGAGTGACTCGAAATTGGTGAATATTTACCCTGTAAAAAGGAAACTCTAACATTTCTTCTAGAGAAATCCTATTCTGAGCCCTATCAGGAGCTGGAATATCCTGTGGTAAAATATCTGAGGGAGGCACTGTACTTTGAAGTTGAACTGCTCCAGCCTGCAGACCCAAGACTGGAACTGAACTTGGAAGACTGTTGGGCTACCAATTCTCAAAGCCAAGACAGTCTTCCACAATGGCCAATCCTCATAAATGGGTAAGAAGAGCACCCCTCTCATGGCTGATGACTGTTCAGCCCAAGGCCCCTACCCTTAACTAGAAGGAATGGGGAACAGGTTAGAAGTTGCCTAAGAAGGTTCGCTGTGTCCTAACTCTGTATCTGTTGAAGTACGTGAAGGTGCCTGCACAACAGCTATGGCTTTTGGTGTCAAAAGCACCAGGTGCTTCTAGCTATCACTAATGAACATCTAAGAAGCAACTATTACCATGGCCAAAGGCAGGAACCTTGAATGGGAGGGGCTCTGTCCATACTGCTATGCCCTGAGGAAAACAAGTTCTCTGTCACTTCACATCCATAGCTTGTGGAAGGAATTTACTGAAATGAAGGCTTGGATTATGTTTGCTTTCTTTTATTTTTATTTTTTTTCCAAAAGGTGTGAAAATAGTGAGGACACTTACAGAACAGTCTCTCATGAAGTTAATGTCAGCCATAGAGTAAAATTTCCTCAGCACTTCAAGAGATTTGAAGTGACAGTGTTCACCTTTGTACAAGGCACAACTCTATTACAAATGCAGGTGAGAAATCTCTTTTTTTGTCATGTTGGCAATCCCAATGCGTAGAGCAGATCATGCAACAAGTGCTGTAGAGGAGCTAGGAGCTCAGTTAGCCAGATACTGATGGGGGCTGTTATCTGCCTTCAAGGCATAACCTTAGGAGTAGTACATAAAGACTAGCCTAGCCATACAATAGCATTCACTTAATTTCATTTGGAGTTATGCATATCCAATTTTTACTAGACTCCCTGTACATGCTGCAATATTTTTTTTCGTGTAGTTATATTTCCACTGCAGTGTTGTGATCTGCAGCACTACACCACTGCCTTCAGATGTGATTTGTCAGAGGAGATGCAATCCTGGGACACATCGCCTTGGTAAGAAAACTGGTATTCCTCAAGTTGTTCCTGGAGATTGCTCAGCAGCTCACTGCACGCTGGTTGGAGTTCTGTCAATTGACAGACTCTTCCTGGTGTGTGCTATACAGAATATTAACACCTGAAATGTCTCACTAGACCGCAGTGCAGAACCACATCGACAGGGACAAGTGTCATCTGGAGCAGTGCTTATTAGAAAGGAAAAAATGGTCAGAAAAGGTTGGTATTGCTCCCAGATCACATTACTGATATACCAAGTGTACTGCGGTTTTAACGTGAGGCATTTCTCTCTTCCCTGTAGGTGAACGCACAGATTTCTGAGGAAATATCCAAGGACTGCTTAGTTCCACAAAATTGCAGTTAAATGGCCCCTAACCAGGGCTGTTAGGCCAGTAGTCTGCTTGGACTTGCAAGGAAGGGCATCTTAAAAATATCTGCCAGGAAAACACATTCTCATTGCCTATGAGGAAAAGGGTCAGCTAAATAAACATTGATGTAATCTCTTAGTAAACTTCAGTCTGTTCCTCTCTTGTGTTTCTCTAGAGCTTTGAAGTTGTGTTTTTTGTGTGTGACTTGCATCTTACCTAGTCTTACCAGCAAACATTTCTGAAACTCTTCTAGTCATACTGCAGTTGTAAACATCTGTTCCAGAGCAGAGGGATGATGGTAGCAGCAGGCATCAAGTCAGTCATTTGGGGTGGGTGGTTGCTCTTTTTAAAGACTTAAGATGAATTAAGCAGGGAGCTTAATATCAGTAAGCCTTTCTGAAGCAAGGTGGGCATGACCATATTTGATCCTGTAGAGGAACTGACAGAAAATCTGTGAGCTGTGGAGGGCTATGGCTCTGCAATGTCAAGTTGTTGCTTTCCTTGGAGTGGGGGGAAGAATCAGTCACAGATTGCACCAGTAATTCTGCTATGCAGAGTAAACAGCCACACTAGAGGAAAATAAGCTTTTAGTGGAGACTTGATGTAATATCATGACAACTATTACTAAACTCTATCTACAAAGTGTTGAGGGTTCTTCCTTATATTAGGATTATATTAGGAGTTCCTACTAGACTACCTTTTTTTTTTTTTTTTTTTTTGTAGAGGCAAAAATGTCGTGTTTTTTTTTTTTTTTTCCCCTCTGCATCTGAACAGAGCCATGAAAACTGCTCAGATTCAGTACTGTATTTTCCTGTTGTAAGGAAAGCTATTGCTTGGCATGAATCATTATTGCTTAGGGCTAAATCTACAACAATGGGTATAAAATGCAGTTTTCTTTTTAACTTTATTAAATAGAATTCTACTACAGGGGATTTCTGTGAAAGCCACCTTGAGCAAGATACTATTTCATGAATCTGTTTGTACCTTGTGAAGAAAAACAATGAATAATTGATTTGTAGCTCTGTTGTAATACCTGTGCAGTGGCCTTGTTAAACCAGTTTGTGCTGTAACTTAGAGCTCATGTTTGTAAACCTTGTCAATCTTACAATTTCTTGTGAAGTTGATATGTAGCTAATAGATTTTTTGCTAGAAAGGACAATAAAAGATGTGTAGACTTCCTGATGAACAACATATGAAGTGCCTCAAGACTGTTTTCCTATGGAGACAGCTAAAATGCTGAAGGAATCTTACTTTACCCCTGCTTACTTACAGCTTACTGCTGTGCTCAATGAATGACACTGAAATGTGCATCTTGTTCTTCAATAAGGGAATAAAAGGAAAGGCAAAGCACAAGCTTGACAGACCATTTACTCTGTGTTTACTGATTATTTCTCCTATGTTAACCCAATGGTTAAGTGTCATCTATCCCTGAGTTTGTGGGTACAATCCAGTGAATTCACAAGGCACATCCATGATATACTTGCTAGGGTTTTGTGTCTAATAGGTTCCAGTTTTGTTTCTATACTGGTGGTATAGTGATGTCCCTGTATATCTCCAGATCATGCTAAGTTTCTCCCAAGAAATGAGTAGTATGCAGTTTTTTTCCAGATGAAGCTGCAATTTTCATCTGCTATGATGGTGTTTTAACAGTGCACTGTAGGCTGCCGTGGGCATCCTGAACCACATTCATCTCTGGGAGTGCAGGGGCTGGGAGGAAACATGTAATAAGTAGGAACTAATGTGAGTATTAAGCATAAGGTAGGGCAGTCTATTTTAACATTGCTAACTTTGTCTCTGCTGTGGCTTCCTGGGTTTTATGATCTTTTTCTTCAAACCAAGACACAAAGAGAAAATCACTTAATAGAAAACACAGTATTTACAATCTTTCATTTATGGATTGTTCGTTCCCCAGGATAGTCAATATCTTGTTCTTTTCTACTATTAGGGACTTAAGAGATGTTGAGAAGCTAGATGATGCCCAGTCTAAATTTTGTTTCTACTCTTTAGTCTTTCTTAAACTCTGTTTAGCACTGTCCTGCACAATGAGAGTTCTAATAGATTTGTGGTCTTTACTGAAAATTCATGAGATTCCTATTTCAACCTTGGAAAGGTTTTGAATGAACTTTGTCAGATTTTTCAACACTGTGTGAGACACAATCTATTTCAATATCAGCAAAATATTAAATTTGAAGAAGACATGACAATACTCTCTGTGCCTCAGAGGTGCCTGTTTATACTAAAACTATATAACTGCCTTCCTGGTTTTATATATCTAAAAAAAATATATATCCTCTTCAAGTGTTGATTCAACACCTCTTTGCCTTTCAAGTGGATTTTTTATGACCACATGCTTTCCCCCCGGTATTTGGAATGTTATTTTTATATCCTTGTTAACACAAGTTGAAAGGAGATCAATCTTATTTGTTTATGCTTTATGTCTCCTGCAATTTCAACAGGTGAATGATAAAAGTCTAGGGGAAAAGAGAAGTCTGGTGTAATTTGTTTTTATAAGAAAATAAAACAATACTGGAAGCCTACTGCAGACAGATATTTCCACTTGAAATAAATGACAGTAAGTCAGTGCTATAGCTAGCTCTATCTGGCTCTTGATAGAAACAGTTTTTTCACTTTCACTGTACTTTATTATCAATTGCATGACTACTCTTCTTGAAACTGCTGCTTTTGTTTCTTAAAGCAACAACACCTTACTCTTAATCAAATTTTGAAAGGTGAGAAAACTGATGTTTGTTCACAGCTCAATTAATTTTAGTACACTTGTTTTGTTCTTTGTTATTAATCATTAATGGCTTAAGTGGAAGCTTAAAAACCATGCTTCTGTCTGGAGAAAAATGCTCTGATAATGAGTTAATGATTTGGGAAACTCTGGTTTCTACCACAAACCTATCGATAGTCTGCAGCTAGTAATCTCCATAGAAACTCTCCTACTATTTGAGCATGCCAGTTCAAAAACATCTGAGTGCCACACTAACAAGGCAGGTACTTACTTCAAATTAAATGCTTTAAAGCATAATTAAATTGAACTAGTTTTCTTACAGTACTTAGCATAGTGATAAGAGTAAGTCTAGGTTCGTGCTGTGTAAAGACCAAAGAGACCTTCCAGATGGAAGGAGGAAAATGGGTCTTGCTCACTGCTGAACTTTCTCCATGCAGTCATGTTTTTCTATCTGTTAAATGAGGAGAAAACAAAAAACATTTGTGGCTGTATAACCATTAAGTTAGGGGCAAATGGAAGTCAGATACCTTATCCTCAGAAATTGAGGTGCACGTTTCTTTATATATAAATATGTACAGATGCATTTGGATGAATCTTTTGTATAAAAATTTCTGCTATGCTGGCAGTTCTCTTTAGGAACAGACTGAAGTGCCTTAACAAGAGGTTTTCTTCCCATCAAACGCACCTATGTGTAGCCCAAATGTGTAACTATAAAAGTTCTTGGCACCTATGTGGTGCTCCTCAGTTTAGAATTTCAAAGTGCTGTGTGGGGGCAGGCAGCCACAAGCTCCCCTGTTTTGCTGCTCACAGAGCCAGAGCTTTCCTGGAGATCTTCTTCCAAGCAAAGTTTCAGTCACTGAGGAATACTCTCTCTCTCTGAGGGAGCCTGGTCTTCTTACCAAGAGGGAACTTGCCTTCCCTGTCATCTTCAGCGTGTACCTGTAACTCTGAGCACAAATTGCAGCTCAGGAAAACAGAGGGTAATGTCTGGCCTTCCTCATGTCTCTTGCCTTTCTCTGAAGGTCTGAGAGCACTTAAAAGGCGAAATAACCACTTGTGGTATGCAGCATCTGACAGCAAGATGGTGTGGTGGCTTCATTTGTAAACTAACACTTCAGGAACAAGTATTCCAAACAGCTGTCGAGTTTCTTTATCTCAAGGCTTCTTCCAAAATTGTAACATCTACAGAAATAAATTAAACAAAAATGAATTAACTGAAACATTTTAGAATATTCTTCATTTGTCATCTTTGGTATTAGCCCTTGTCCTGATGGTGAATGAATCAAGTTCTGACTCAGTCTACTAGTTTCTTGCATTAGAAAATCATTAATGCAATAGAACGATGTCTTTGTGGTGGAGGCTTTGTGTGTTGTTTTTCTCTTTTTAACTCTTCTTTCTAGCCTTCTTCAGTACCTGTGTTAATGAAGGAATTTCAATGATGCTGTCCCGGAAAAGGCAAAAACGTGACTTGGGAGGGATTTTAGGACTGGAAGAGTTCAGTTCATTGGCCGGATCCTCTTTTATTCTCCTGTATCTCTTTTTCTTCAGCATGATGGACAACTCTGTCCCTTAGGCAAAATGTAATATAATTCCTCAGCCACAGACTTCCAGTGATAGCTGTGCTACTCCAACTGTAGTTTTACTTCCATCTGAAGTCTTAATGTATGTTAAAATGTTTGTATGTGAAAGATTTTCTTTAGTTCTGTGTCTTTTACAATTTCTTCAGACTGTAGAACTTTTTTTTTTTTTTTTTTTTTTTTTTTGCCTCTGTGCTGTAGGCTATCAGTTTTGCTATTGGACTTCAGTACTGCCTCATGAATTTTACATACAGTCCTGGAAGTTGTTAAATCTTGTATTCTCACATAGGGGACTTAATTCTTGCTCTCTTTCACACCAAATAAATATCCTACATCCTTAGGGGTAAAGAAATGGAAAACAATCTCAACTGTGTTTTGCTTTACTTAAAAATAAATACTGATTTCTATTAATTAACAGCAGTACTTGTATCATCATGAATGCAACAATCTCTTCTCTTACAGTGAAATTTGTACACCAAGGAAAGAACTACAAAAGGAGAGAAATGTTCAATGTCCTTGAAAGCAAAGTTGGCATATCCTAGAAAGTCCAGGCCACAGAATCATGGAATGGCTTAGAGTGGTAGTGACCTTAAAGATCATCTAGTTCCAACCCCCTTGCCCAGAGCTCCATCCAACCTAGCTTTGCACGCTTCCACAGATGAGTCATCTACACCTTATCTGGGCAACATGTTCCAGTCCCTCACCACCCTCAGAGTGTAGAATTTCTACCAAATATTTAATCTAATTCTATCTTTGTTTAGTTTAAAGCAGTTATTTCTGTCTGGGTAAGGACTTCCTCCTCAATTTTCCTGTAGGACCACTTTTTAGGTATTGGAAGGCTGTAATGAGGTTTCCCTGAAGCCTTCCCTCCTCTATGCTGAACAAGCCCATGCTCTCAGCCTTTCTTTGTAAGAGAGGTGCTCCAGCCCTCTGCTCATCCTCCTGGCCCTTCCCCACGCCTGCTCCAACAGCTCCACATCTTTCCTGTACTGGGTGCCTCAGAGCTGAATGTGGCACTGCAGATGGGACCTCACAAAACCACAATAGAAGGGAAGTATAATGTGAACTATACCTCAGCAAAGGGGAACAGAATCCACCTGTACTTCTTGTTCCTGTGTCTTGATCACTTTTTCCACATCACATGTGGGTGAAAGGAGAGATTCTCTGAAATGGGAATATCTGATAGTACCAAAAAATCAAACACTTTAAGAGTATGCTAGTAAATCAACCTTATCTCTGATGGGGACCTTGGTCCTATTGTGATGCAGGGTGCAATTTAGGACAGACCAAGGCCTGTTTCCTAAGGCTTTCTTAGATACAGCCGTCTTATCATAGAATCATAAAATTGCTCAGGTTGGAAAAGACCTTAAAGGTCATGAAGTCCTACTGCAACCTAATCATACTACCTGAACTCTAACAACCCTCCACTAAATCATGTCCCTGAGCATCACATTCAAATGGTTTTTAATCACATTCAGGGATAGTTACTCATTCTATGCTAAAGCTCAAAGTATTTAAAAACATTTTAGCAGTTGCTGGACTTTTAAGACTACAGATTGAGTAAAGGCATGGTCTGGTTGACTAGCACAGGAACAGTGAAGCGGTCTGAAACTCAAAGCCTTGCTTCTGAGGTTATTTAGAGTTGCTCTACATTGGACTTCCAGGGAGAGAAGAAATTAGCAAGCTATGGCCCATTACTTCAGGGCTTTTGGCTGCTACTTTCCTTGGGGCAGCTGGGAAAATCAGCCCTGATGCATGTCTACAGGCTACCTCCTACTACGGCAATCTTTTTGCACGCAGTGTTACTTAGCTTTATTAGCAGCAGCCTTCTGAAACAGTTAGCTATCAATGTCTTCCTTTACAGTTGAGTAAACTGAAACAGTGATGCTGGAGGACCTGTTGAGGCCATAGATAAATTAGCAATAAAAGTGAATGCTCTCATATTCCTGATCCCTTTGCTTTAAGCACAACCCTATGGGCTTCCTTAGCTGAAAAGCATGCTAATTACATGCAGTTCCAGTAGTGAAAGATTTAAAGAGCAGGGTTAGATGATTTACCAAGCATAGATAATCTATCAAAACAGTATGATAGTACAAGATGATGGTCTATAACAAAAATGACAATGAGGGAACTAGCTTCTGCGTATCTGCTGGTGCTTTGCCAGCACTAGTGAGCATGTACTCCTTTACAACTGTTGGCTACAGTGAGAATCTTTGTTAAAAGACTCAGAATCAAGTTCTCAGTTCTGTTTCAGTGTGAGGTCCTGTGGCCAATGCACAATTTCATCTCCTTAATCATTAAGAGATCATAGAATGGTTTGGGTTGGAAAGGACCTTTAAGATCATGTAGTTGCAACTCCCTGCTATCGGCAAGGACACCTCCTCTAGACCAGGTTGCTCAAAGCCCCGTCTAGCCTGGCCTTAAATGCTTCTAGGCAGGGGCATCCATAACCTTACTGGGCAACCTGTTCGAGATGTGATCTGACTGATCTTGCCTGTGAGGCTCTTCATCTGCTCAAATCTGGATCCAGTACACAGGCTCATAGTGAGGAATGCTATGGTGAAATTAGTGCTGCCATTTCACATGCACAGGCAATTATCTCTATTTGGACAATTTTATAGGGCTTTAAAAAATGATACTACTTACAGTCTTACTAATGCCCAAAAGTTTGTGAGAAATGTAATGTGGGTTAAAACAGAACAGGAGCATAGAGGATATATATGCTTAATCGTGAATACATTTGAGTGACACTTCTACCTACATAAATTTGAACTTCACTGCTTTTGAAGACAGTGATGGATTTCACACAGGTTGCTCCAGTATGCATATACCATCTGAGAAGAGTATTGAGTGAACTTAGGGTGAAGCAAAAGGGAAAAGGTCTTAGGGAAAAAAGTACAAAACCTATTTTACTATTATATATTACATATACCTATTTTACCTATTTCAATACGAACAACCAGAAAGAGGAAAAAAAAAAAGAGGGAAATGCAGCAACGTTTTAGATTTGCAGAGCTCTGCTGCAGGATGCATTCACAACCAAAGCCACCTGCCCCACACAGACATGTTGATCTATTCATCCCAGTGAGACAAGCCTGTTTTCTCTGCCTGCTGCTCTCCTGGTGTCTTACATTTCCCCACAAAGAAAAGGTTAATCTGCCTTAATGAATTCCATGCTGTTCAGCCTCGCAATACAGCAACTCTGTGTCAGATTTTGCTCCTCTCTGTGCGTTGCTGGGCTCGGTGTAGCCAAGTATTTGAAATCAATCTGCAATGAGATTTATGGAGCTTTTGTTTTCTTTTTTTTCCTCCAGTTTGGTTAGACCTATGTGATCTTGGTCACACGTAAGGTAAAAGAAATTAAAGATTTGTACTATGTTCTCATTTCTTTGGCTTTTGGAAGGTTTCATGTGTGTGTTTTATAGGACTGTTACTAGTTGTAAGAAAAAGCTGATGTGACAGCTTTTAGTAAGGACGTTACAGTTACTAGCATCCTCTTAGGTTTCAGTACATCTTGAGGATAAAATTTTGCATCTTTCTGATATGTGAATCAATTTATTTCACACCAGAGAGAAGGAAGAGCAGGAACAGATCTCAGCCTAACCTTACTCCAGTAGTTTGGTATAAAAATGTATTCCACACTTTATCAGACTCTGAAGCAAAGTTTTTTTGGATTAAAAACAGAAATACGATTTGTTTCTATATATATTAAAACAGAAGATAGACTTTAGCAGCAATTTATCTATACAAGATCAGTTGGTTTATATTTCATTTCCAGTGTTTAATCATCAGTTTTAGACTTTACTTATCTACCAGGTATGTAACACAAAGTACAGACTATAACATTGATATTTATTTGTTATGAGCAAAGAAGTTCCTGCTATTAGTTCCTTTCTTGATTTTTAAGTACAGAGGAAATGTAGACAATTAAGTAATATTTGAACTAGCTAAACATGTTCCCCCTCATCCTGATATTAAAGTGCCTACAAATCAATACACTTATAAATCCTATGTGGTTGTTGTTACTTTTTACAAATTCACTTTAAAACCTATGGATTTACTGTTGTCTGCATTAAACAGAAAACCAGTCAGAACACAGATATGTAAATCCTAGAAGGTTCACATGGCTTTTTGATTCATATCAGATCAGCTTTAAAATTTGTCAGGAGCTTATCATTAAAATAAACAAACAAAAAATGACAAAACAGGAGCATAAGAAAAACGAAAAGCAAGACTTCCATCGCAGCAACTTGCAGCTCAGGCTTTAGGCAGCCCCACATCACCTTCCAGCATCGCGTCCTACATACGCAGAGACCCTCGCTCTCCCTCCCTTACGTTCCTCTGTCACCCCATGCAGCCATGCTCCAAGAAAGGAGAAATCGAGCTGGTTTCGTTGTCTTTTTCGAAGGGCTCTTCCACAGCAGAGCCTGGGGGTGCCAGGGCAGGTGTTCCAACCGGGCCCTACACCCGCTTGACGCTGTTGAGGAGCTCCGTCAGTTCGCTGATGTACTTGATGGTGTACTTGAGGGTCTGTATTTTGGTGAGGGGCTGTCCCCGCTGGCTGTAGGCGGGCGGCAGGTAGTTGCGCAGTGTGTGCAGCGCATCGGCCAGGGTCCTCATCCGCAGCTTCTCCCTCTCGCTGGCTTTCCTCCGGCGCTGAGCTGACATCCGCACCTTGGTGCCCTTGGGCAGCCGGGCCTGACCGGGGCTGGGCAGGTAGGCTGGGGGGAAGTCCACCAGGCCGTAGCCCACCAGGCCGCCACCGCTGTATGGGGTCTCAGCTGCTGCCGGGCACGGGGACGAGGAGTAAGACTCAAAGGATGGCGTTGGGGACAAGCTGTGTGGAGAGGAGACGGAGTGCAGCTCGAAAGCCCCAGTGGAGTTCTTCCAGTCCCAGGAGGATAAGCAGACAGAGTGCTCCGAACCCAAAGTGTCTTCCATATTTATCAACGTCTCATGCAATTTGTCCATTCTGGAGGAGCGCGCGGGAGAAGCAATTCCCGCTGCCCGCCAGCAAAGGCTGGAGCTGCCTGCTGCTGAGACCTTTTTATGATGGAGGGAGGAAAGTGACAAAGTGGGAACGTGGGTTTGGCCAGGGGAGTTCAAAGGAGCACCACAAGTGCTAAGATGGAAAATGAACTCCTGATGTGCTAGTTTCTTCTCAGTGATAATTATCAACCTTCAGCTAAAAAGCCTTTAAGCTAACATGCAACAGTGAGGAAGGAGGAAAAAAAGATTATCTTCTTGTGACTAAACCAATTAAGGCTGCGCATCAACATTTAACGCTGCACTGGGGGGATAAGTGATGGGAGAGGAAAAAGAAAATTAACCATTTTACAAAGCAGTTAACAGAGAGTTTAAAGATAGCGAGCACTGACATAGGGCCAGAATTTAAACTATTGGGCCCTGTTTTCTGTGTGACTGTTCGGAAGGAACTGCACCGCAGCAGTGATCAGCTGGTCCATGCTGACTGTGGCTGAGATTCTCTCACTAAATGCATCTTAATTGTGAAACCCAAAAATGGTTGTCTTGGACTTTGATGTGTGTGGCTCTGTGGATTTCTCGTCTTGTAGGGTTGTAATTTCTCTTTGAATAATTAGCTTTTCAACAAGAGAAAGGGGAAAATCTAGATATTCCCTACAGGGAACTGCACTTAGTTTATCATTTCAAATCTTGAGTCAGAAGGCAAAAAGGAAATTTGTAGTTGTAAAGAAAGTCAGAGTCCTATTTAACAAAAGATTTGGGAAGATGTAATTAAAAAAAATAAACATACAGGAAATTAAATCAACACAAACTTTGGGCCTGAGCAGTTGTCTTAGATAGGAATTTAATTCAAAGCTGTATAGAGGTTAGAAATGTGTAAGAGAAGACTAGAAGATATTTATATAAGAATTTCTACCTCTATGAATCTGTTTTTCTGCTAAAAAAAACTTTTCCATCCCTTACTGAATACAACAGTGAAGATAGATGTTAGGTATTTCAAATGAAAATATATATCCTAAAAATGAATAGCATTAATAATGAGCACTTTTCATCTGTAGGCCTCTGAAGAGTTTACAGTGATGATTAATGATCTTTATTCCCCAAGCAAATGGATAAGCAGAGTCAAGGGGGAACTTGCTCAAGACCACACAGCAAATCATTAGGAGGGAAAACTACTGAGCTCTGTAGCCACTGAGCAGCTCAGCTGCCAGCCATGGCTTCATATTAATCTGTAATAGAAGCAAGATATAATATACAATGAAAAGAAAGAGAGAGCAAGTGCTAACCTGAAGGATCAAGAAAAGTAGGGTAGGATTTAGTTTAGAGCTTCAGTGTAATGACCTCTGTGTGCTTAGTAATCCACTCTGAAAAGAAAAGGGAGAAAGGCTTTTAGATGGCACAGAGTCAAAGCAAGATGGAAGATACCATTTCTTTGTGACTACAAAATCCTCACTACAACCACTAAGAGGAAAATCCTATGTGCACTGAAAATAGGGGCTGATCCAATATACAGTGAAGTCTCTTATGGATTTTTGTTGAGTTTGGAATCAAAACATTTGGAAACTGCTTGCAGGAGAATTACTGATTTTATCATGAGGTGAGTAAGAAAGAACCACAAAGTGAATGTGAAGGGTTTTAGCATTTCAAACCAGTCTGAGATGATTTGTCTGTGATAAAATATATCTCATGCTCAGGGAAACTCAGGGCACACCTTACCTCAGTCAGGATTGCTTCGGGTTTTCCAGTTATCCTGTGTTGTTCTGATCTTTTCTTTTTTCTTTAAGGAAAATGAGTTGCAATAGTCCAAAGAAGAACAAATTCCTGCTATAAATTAAAATTAAGAGAAGATTTACAGCAGGTATTTTTGTGACTAGAGAGCTGAGTGAGCACCATTTCAGAGGTCACCAAGTCACAAGTCAGACTCAAAAACTGATTTAGCATAAAAATGAGTAACTTTTGTCCCAGTTAAAATCTCCCATTCTCTTTTTGTGTTTTCCTCATATTTGTATTTGTATTTATAGTACCTTCACAGTGCATATATAAATGCATATTTATATATATATGACCCTTTCTTCTCATTGATTTTGATTTTGGAATCAAAAATTTACTGCCATTGAAGGCAGCCAAATTTGGAAGCAAAAATTTCAACAAATGACTTGTTTGCTATCTCTAACCAATGCATAATAATGGTAAATGTAAAAAAATCAAGAAGCAATGCAAGGTCCAGGATTCCTGTATGTTCTACAGACTATTTAATTCAACAGAGGATCATGGTTTTTAGTTTTTCTTGTATTCATTCCGTGATTCTGTCATTCTGTAATTAATTTTTGTCTGCAACCACATCTCTACCTGCAATGTGAGAATCATCGGTTGGGAAATGATCTCAAAAATTAGGGACAGTTACAATAGGAAAAAAAAAAATACTGGAAATGATAGAAGTCATGGTGTTCCACTATAGCAGGGTTGAAAATGTGATACAGAGGAGGGTACGGCTATGTGGTGGATACCAGGTATATTCTCATATATTCTAGGACTGTTTGATGCTCATCCATTAAAGAACTAAGAAAGTCTAGTGTTTCAAATGTCACCTTCCTAAAGTTTAAATACATGGAGGAAAAAAAAAAAAGAAGAAGAAGAAGAAATTTAAAGAAGCATTGCAATCTTTATTTTATTCGACCTTGAGCAGATTTGGAGAAGTCCCTTTTGTTCTCCCAGTAATGCCAAAAGATTGCAAGGCAGTAAGAAATGAGGCTAACGCCAATGACATACTCACACTTACAAAATGATGAGGGATTTTCTGCTTGACTGACAGTTTTGATTTCCATTCCAGTAATTTATTCAGCAATATAAAGGCTAACATCTCCATCTTCATCTCTTTTGAAATGAAAGGTTCCCTAATCAGATTTCTGTATTTATAACAGAAGGAAGGAGAAGCATGGATGGAGCAAAACTTTTTATATCTAAAAGAAAAGCATAAAATTGAATTTTTTTTAGCTTCTGTGTGTCTGATTCAGGGTTTACATTTAAAATAAGATGTCCAGGTAGTATGTCACTCACAGATACGGTAGGTAATTATGTAGATATTTAAGGATTGACACACATTTTTAGTCTGTAAAAATTCCAGATCATATTTCCATCAATCTGTGAGGTTTGGAGAGTAAACAGACTTGAAATAGTGAGGAAAAAGTCATATGAAGTGGCTGAATATATTTCAGTAGCACTTAGCAGTCCACCTCCTGCTGTTGGGACAGAAGTCTGGTCTTACTGCACTGACAAGCAGTACGTTATACAAACAGAGCTCTGAGATGATATGTTTTCAACTTTATTCTACATCTGCAAAGCTCTTCAAAGTCACTTCATCTCTCGCTTAACATGGTTTTCCAAGCACTCTCTGCTTTGCCTCCCACTCTCCGTACAGCTGGCTGTTGATGATCCTGCTTTGCACAGACCCAGCCGCACAGATGTAAAACGTGGTGCAAGCAGCTGCAGGTCTCCCTGGTTTCAGTAGACGCAGCAGGTGTTCAACACTTCCGAAAAGTAACACTGGACACCTCTGTTTACGCCTAAGCTGGCAATAAAGGAAGAAAAGGATCTAGCCCATTTGTTATCCAGAGTCCCATTAGCCACTGGGTGATGCTTCTCTCTTTTTTAATGCTTTCCCTTAATTTGGAGTAGAAGTGTTTTGTTTTTTTTTTTTTTAATGAATTTATTTGAGGGTTTTTTAATACTTCTGGAAGAGAGTCTATCTTGAATTCAATCTCAGCTGAAATCAGTAGGATTTGTAGATAAGTAAGCTGCACTGTACCAGCAAATACCCACATCTTTTTTTTCTGAGGTCATTGTTCCAAAGAATATGGATGAACAACTATCTACAACTCTTAGGGGGAAGCAAGGCAGTAAGAACTGGAGCTGATGCTGAGTTCCCCTAAAAAGTAACTGCAACTCCTTACTACAATCAGTGAAAACCATGTGCAAATTGGATCCCTAATTGTTATCACCACCTTTGGTGGCTAGGATGAGAGAAAATACTGCTATTCATTTGTAGTAGGACCAGAAACTGGTAAGTTACAGAGCTGCTAAAAATCCTGCCTTAGACATTTAAACTCTTCAGCTCTCTCTACTCCAAAATACCACACCAAAAGCCTGCTGATGAAGGACAAGTATTGTGGATGTCATGCTAAGTATCATAGATTTCACCAGCGCTTTGGATGGTGGCAGGCACCTCTCTGCAGTTGCCCTGGCAGGAGCAGGACCCGTCTACTTGCTTTACATCCTCACATCTATTTGATCCTCCAAATAGTGGCAGTCTCTGTTGACTGAAAAGTGACATCAGCTCCGCAGTTCATTTAAAACATCTGATCTCCAAGCAACTGGCTTCCTAGATGAAAAGGCCTACGTGTGGAATTTACACCTATCCACCTTTTAAGTAGGGAGTTTATTACCTAGTGGCTTTCAGCTGATTTTTCAGGAATGTCTTTTTAATACCTCTGTTAACAGAAGTTGAAAGGAGATTAGGCTATGTGGTTGGTCTTTAATGTCTACTGGCTACTTCAGCCAGAAGGAAAGGGCAAAGCTGAGGGGGAGGGGGCCCTAACGAGGCTCATTTTGCTCAGAAAATGAGAAGTTTTAGATATTATCAGAATAATACAAGTCATTTAGGTGGGAGAACTCCGTTATCTCTCAGTGCATATTCATTGTATTAACTTTCACATGTTTTTAGAACAAAATGACTACTGAAATTGAGTTGATTTATTTCAAAGCTTTTCGTGGGAGAGGTGGAAGAATACCTGCTGTAAACATTTTAATATCCTAAGCAGTGCCTCCTTTTCTACTCAAAAGCATAGGATCAAGTTTCATAAAGTACAATATAGTTTATTTCCAAGTTTTTCTTGTAATCTTTTTGTAAACACCCAGATGTTTCATTTTGTCATGTCTGGGGCAGCACAGAATTGTCCCAAAGTTCAAGGTTGGTACTCCCGTTTTCCTGCCATTGCACTGATACTTTGTGCCCTGTGCTCCAAATGCTTCATTTTGCAGTGTGACAGATATTCTAAACCTCACTAATTCTTCTGAGAAATTCCAATGGCCAGGAAATTTTCCCTGAATGTGTTTAAAAACCATTTGGATATGGTGCTCAGGGACATGATTTAGTGGAGTTAGGGAAGTATGATTAGATTGCAGTTGGACTTCATGACCTTTAAGGTCTTTTCCAACCAGCGCAATTCTATGATCCTGTGTTTCTAAATTTGAATTAAAATCTCAGTTGTGCTTATTTCAATTCCAGTTGCAGAGCTGAAGCTGAGTGTTTGTAAAGGAGACTATTTTTCAGTTGCTCTGAGTTCATCTCAGGCTGTTCCTTTCCATCCAGTGAACCCCATCAGGACCTGCTCATTTCTCCCTCCCTCGTGTCTGAGCACTGATGTGCAGAATTGCTGCTCGCTGTTAATAGAAACCATATTTCATCCAAATGAAGTTATGCTATGAACAGAGCCTGCAGCTCAGTTTAATAATTATAAAATGGATCAATAGTCTAAGGTAAGAGGCAACAAACAGGTGTTAGATTATTAATATTATTTAGTACTTACATATTTCCTCTGTTCTGAAATAGAGTGCTGTGTGCATGTTGCAGGCTTCTTTCCTCAAACACTTGGTTAACCTGTGGGTGGGGACTTTAAATCACAAGTTGCCAAATCTCAATTTTACTCACATTCAGTTCCACAAAAAGCAAATCAGTCTTTTGGTCCACTGATGAATGCGAATTGTACTAAGTACTTTTCTTTTTTTTTTTTTTTTGCTCCAGATGCCTTTGTAATTTGCCTGACAAATTAAACTCAGTGTTATAATGATTCCACAAAAGTATTTGAGCAAAGCTGCTGCTATTTTTAATAGCTAAACTTTGAACACATGTCAGGTTTCCAAATGATACCAAACTGGGAGAGAATGATTAATGTATTGGAGGGCAGAGGTGCCACTCAGAGGGATCTGGGCAGAGAAAACTGTTTGAGAAGACCCTCAGGAGGTACAGGGACAGCAAAAGCAAAGAGTCATGGAATCATCGTGGTTGGAAAAGACCTCTGAGATTATCTAGTCCAACCATCAACCCATCCCTACCATGCCCCCCATTAACCATGGCCCTCAGTGCCACATCTCCATGATTCTTGAACACCTTCAGGGGTAGTAACCACACCACCTCCTTGGGCAGCCTGTGCCAATGCCTCACCACTCTTACAGTTTTCCAGGGGCTGGGAGAGCTTCACGCAGCACAGGAGCAGGATAACAAGCCAGGAAGCAGCTTGACTGCTTCCCCTGAACAGAAGACCGATGGAAGCAGACGGGCTGACAGGCTGGAGTGGGTCCAGCAAAGTGACCCTGAGTTGGAGCATGTGGTGTGCAGGGAGAGGCCTGGAGAGGTGGGTCTGTCCACCCTGGGATTGAGAAGGCTCCAGGTAAACCTGGTGGCTGCAGCCACGTGATGGCAGAGGGAAAAGAAGAACATTCAAACTCTCTGCAGAGGCTCCCAGTGGAAAAAAAACCCACAATGAGCACCTCAAGTGCTGAGTTTTATGGGCTTTCAGTCTCTCAGCGATTTCTTACAGACTTCTCGCTATACTTTTGGTTATACAGGACACCAATACATTTCCTTTCTGATTACATTTTTAGGCAGTTGGACTGATTTGAGACAGCTGAGTGACAAGTGTATGAGCACACAGGAATATTCGCAACAACTGTAGACCTCGTTCCCTTTCTTTGCCTTATAATCAGGTTTTACTGTCTGTCTCATCTAAATGTCTCTAATTCCATCTTCCTCTCTATGACTAGATAGTATATCTTTGTATTTTTTCCTTTCCTTCCTCCTTTTCTCCCTTCCTTTCGTCCTGTTCCCTCCCTCCTTCTTTTCTCCCTCCCTCCTTTCCTTTTTTCCTTCTCCCTCCCCTCCTTCTTTTCTTTCTCCCTCCCTCCTTTCCTTTCTTCCTGCTCTCTCCCTCCTTCTTTTCTCCCTCCTTCCCTCCTTTCCTTTCTTCCTTCCTTATTTCTTAAGATTTATCTGGTTGTATATTTAATTTTCAGACTCTTTCCCATTCTCCTTCTGTTTTTCTTGGCAGAACAAGATGCCTTCGTAAAATCTCCTGCCTGTACAAATCATACATCTTTGCTTACCTGCTCAGCTATGTGAATAAACCTAATGTTAGAAGTAGCAAACACTTCATTATCCACTTGGAATTGTCCAAAGCATAGGTTATAGAATAAATAAATAAATATCTATAGTAATTATTAAGGTTGCAAAGATGCAAGAAGCCATTACTTGAGGCCAACTTTTACTTGAGCAAACTCTTATTATTTTCTATTTTTTTTAAAGACAAGGGAGAGCAAAAAATCCTAAATTCTAACTAGGAAAATTTATCTATGGGCCAGTAAGTTAAGCTTATTCTTATCTATTAGGTCAAAAAGCAAGGAGATAACTTCCTTCACACTGGCACCCCATTTCACTGCATGCTGCTGGCTGCCCCATAGCTGTGATGAGACAGAGGTTTCTGGTGTGTGCCCTAAGTTCCTGCATAGTTAATGGCAATTGATGTGTGCATGCATGGATGAGCAGGTAGCTCTTACACCAGCAGATATGCACATCTTGAGGGCAGATTGTCTTCACTAAGAGTCTGTTATTCTGCGGGCAAACCAAGGAGAACAGTAAATCACTGCTGCCTGCAGAACCCCAGAGCCCCCATCTCCTGCTTCCTCAGACAGTGACTGTGCCAGGGTAGGGATCCCTCTCTGATAAGATCTTCATGGTGCCTACCACAAGGGTTGAATTAAGCTGCTGGCACTTTCCTATTGCAAAACACTGCATAAAATGGGGACATGATCAGAAAGCAACTAAGTCTAAATTTTCCAGGCAATATCACTTTAAAGCTTTTGACCCCCCACCACCCAACCCCCTTCAGGGAAGTAGTCTTCTAAAGTAAATACTAGCAAATGGGTTGTATTCAAAAAAAAAAAAAAAAAAAGAGGGAGAGAAAAAAAGGAATTGTAATTTCCCCCTGACATTGACCCTGTCATGCTTCGGTGCACGCTCATCAGTCTCCTGCTCTGATCTGATAGCTGACATTCTGTGATATGCTGAAAGCAAAGTAACACAGATGGATAGTGCTCTCTTTTGAAGAGCAAAATGCATCAGTAACTGAATTTTCAAGTACTTTCAACATGAAGTTAACTCTTAGATTGTAGGAGCATCTTCTAGTTGAAAGGGAACAAAAAGACTCTGCAGACTTAGTAGGGACTCCCTATTATAATGCATATAATGTAAGCTAACATTTACATAGTCCCTGCTTCTTTCTATATACTTCAGACACTAGCTTGTCAACACTCATTACACAGCTTTAAAAAGACTTCTAAGCGTTCCTTAGGGCAGCCAGAACCTCCCAAACACAACATGCAGCGTGAAGCCAGCTCCAAGCATCCCCAAGCTCCATCAGGCTTTCTTCCTCCAAGAACCTCCATGTGTCCCTATGAGGACAGGCTGAGAAAGCTGGGGCTGTTCAGCCTGGAGAAGAGAAGGCTGTGAGATGACCTGATAGTGGCTCCTCTTAAGGGGAGCTACAGGAAAGAGGGGCACAGACTCTTTAGCAGGGCCTGTGGTGATAGAACAAGTGGAAATGGCCTCAAGCTTAAAGAGGGAGATCAAGATTAGTTATAAAGAAAATGTCTTTTACAGTGAGGGTGGTGAGGTATTGGAACAGGTTGCCCAGAGAAGTGGTTGATGGAGACTTTCAAGGCTCAAACCCTGGGCAACCTGACCTAGCTGTTGTGTCCCTGTTCATTGCAGGGGAGTTGAGTTAGATGACCTTTAAAAGTCCTTTCCAACTCTAAGAATTCTCTGATTCTCTGATTCTAAGTGTTCTCTTCTTTCAGAAGGAGAGCTCAGCTTGGAGAAATAACATGTATTATTTGGACAGGAAGAAATTTCATCCCAGAACTTTTTAGTTAGTTCCTCCCTTAGGAATCAGGTCTGAGATGAGAAGAAAATGAATTCCTAGCATGTGGATCTGGAATTCACCGTTACAATACAGCAGAGGAAACAACTGTTATATTCAATTTTACAATCATGAAGGATAGAGTGATCTCATTTCAAATGTTCAGATGAGTTCCTGCTGAATCCTATGAGTCCCTTCTTACTTCAGGGTAAGACAGTAAACACTACTATGAACATCGTTTATATTTCCTATGGTTTACTCTTGATTTTGCTCACATGCACTCACGATCTCAATAAATCTCTGATTTTATTTCCAGGCTTCCTCTTCCAGCTGGAGGTTGCTTTCACACCCAGATGATCACCTTCCCTTTCTGGTCTAACAACCAAGCAAAAAATATTATTTAAGAGACAACTCCATGGCCATCTTTTCTCAGGTTTGCTAGGTGACAAAATTCTCAGTGTCATACACTGAGATGTGCCCTGTTAAGAGTAATTTCACCCAGACAGAAGCAGCCAATCCTCCTGTCTGGATGGACATTATATCAGAATCTCTAATTGTTCAAAATTTTCCATGAGGACTTGCTCTAGCTTGAAATGAAATCTAATAAAATAAGTTAAACATACTTTTTTTCTTGCATGGTATTAGGGCCACTCAAATTCAGCAACAGAATTGCAATTTTGGGTGACTTTTGGGTAATTTTTGGCTATTTTTTTCTAGTGTATTTCTTCCAAGTGACTCAGAGCCGTGGGAGCCCCTGGATGCTCCACCTGGCAAAATGTGGGTGTAGGTATCTGCCAGGAGGGAGAGACAGCACTGGAAGGAAAAGATCAAAGCCCTATAAATGTGTCAAACTTTCAAATGCAAATCACCTGCCATAACTCTGCTGAGAACAAATCCTTCATTATCACCATTCTGTGAAGGGCTTAAATTAGCCTGAATTGGCTGGCAAGAACAAGAAAAAGAAAGCCATTTATCTTCCTGTGAGCTTTATTACCTTCGGATTTATTTGGCTAATGGTCCAATAACTCACTGATCAGAATATCTGCATAACGAATACTTCAAATGATCCAAAAATACAATTTTGGATTTTGATCACATGAGGTTATTAAAGCAAGACCTGTGGCAATGGGTTATTACAGTGTCAAAAAGAGTCTTCACAATATGTTATTCTTTTTAATTGACAAACTATGAGCTGCTGAGATCTACACACTAACAATTATCCTCTGGCTTCTTTTCTATGGGGCTGAACTAAAATTAGGGGATTCCGCTAATGTGCATTCCCTAACCATGTTCTCTGGACACATACCATATCCATTCTTATTTTAGATTGCCATTATTTTGAAAACCTAACTAATTTCTTAGTGAAAAAAAATACATTTCTTTCCTTCCTACTTTTTAAAATAGAATCATAGAATCATTAAGGTTGGAAAGACCACTAAGATCATATAGTCCAACCATCAACCCATGCCTGTGACTCTAGCCCATGACCCTCAGTGCCACCTCTCCATGGTTCTTGAACACCTCCAGGGATGGTGACTCCACCACCTCCCTGGGCAGCCTGTTCCAATGCATCACCACTCTTTGTAAGAAGAAATTTTCCCCAATAACCGACTTGAACCTCCCCTGTGCAACTTGAAGCCATTAGATGTCATGCTGTCACTGTTACCTGGAAGAAGAGGCCCACCCACACCTCGCAACAACCTTCCTCTGGGGAGCTGTAGTTTAAAAAATAGACTAAGGCACATTAAGTATTTGATTAACTGACTTGAAGAGGAAGAGTTTAAGAAGTACTGCACAACATTTAATGCTGATTCATAAGGGGAAATTCTAGCACTTCGCTTTGTTAAATTAACAATTGCAGTGAGGTTTTCTTAAGAGAGCATTATTGGGATCCTTGGAAGAAGATGCACCCTGATCAGGAAAATCTTGGTCAGGGTAGAGAAAGGTCTGAGGGGTGCTGAATGGAGACCACTCAGCAAGCACCTCCATGAGGGTCAGGTGAGGCTGACCAGAGCATCTGGGGTGGTAATTTCTGCACAGATATCTTGCACCTCGCTGGTTCTTCTGTTGGTCATAGTTTGGATATATTCCCCAACTGATACATCCCCATCCCCACAGTGACCCACATGAGTCACACTCTGAATGATCAGTTAAATACAATTTACAAAACATGTCTTTTCCCCAAAGGAAAGTAACAAGGTTATATGTGTTCAAACAAGAAGGCTTTGTAAGGTGATACAGATACTTACATGCATGCCACAACAGGAGGACTCAGCTGCTCTGAAGCTTTTCCCTGTTCACTGTCACCAAGTCTACCACAAAGTCTTGGGCTTGCAGTAAACTGGGCCTGGCAGTTGGAGGATATTTGTGACCGTTGAGAGTAATTTATGTTGAATTTGTGTTTAACGACATCCCAGCACAAAAGGTGGTGGGTTTTTTTTTGTTTTTTTCTTTGCTTGTTTTTAACACACTGGTTAAAAAAAAAAAAAAGACAAAAACCTTCACTTACTGATGTTTTACAGGATGAACATCCAGTCATGAACAAGTTGTAGTAAGATACACAGATATACATCACAGTTGTTCTAAGGAATATAATTTTCTTGAAGGAATTTTTCTGTACAATAAAATCCCTTCAGGCAAGACTTACAAGCTCATTTTATAGTTACATTCTTCAGATTGTCAACATGGGGAGAATATCCTGCCTGTAAGACTTTAGCGCAGAACATACAAAGGGTGATTTTTATTTGTTCATGCAATTTGTTAGGCTGCTATATGGAAATCAATCAGTTATTTATAGGATGCTCTAAAGCCTACCTTTCATAGCACTAACACCAGAGATAGCAACATGGAAGGTGCTGGCAGAGTGATGCTGGAGAAGGCATTTTGGGGGGGAAGAAAAGCAAAACCTGACTTTTACATCTTAAAAAAATCAGCATGTGATTTATCATAGTGTTTTCTTGTGGTACTGCCAAAAAAAGAACATCTTAAATCAGGACAACTGAAGAACACATGCTCTATGCTTTTTTTTTTTTTTTTTTAATATGCTAACAACTGAAAATAGCATGTCTTTACAAACCACAGACAAAAAATGGAGTTTAATTCTGCTGGCAACTGATCATCAATGGTATTCATCAGGGGTCAGATCCTGATCTGGATGAGGGGACTGAGTGCACCCTCAGTAAGTTTGCAGATGACAAAGTTGGGAGGATAGGTTGATCCACCTGAGGGTAGGAAACACTCCACAGAGGAATCTGGACTCCTCTGAGTTGATGGACTGAGGCCAGCTCTAAAGGTTCAATAAGACCATGTTCCTACACAACAACCTCATGCATCACTACAGGCTCAGAGCAGAGTGGCTAGAAAACTGCAGAGGGAAAGGCTCTAAGGGGTATTAACAGCTGTCTAACCATGAGCCAGCAGTACACTCAAGAAGGCCAACACCATCCTGGCTTGTATCAGAAACAGTGCAGTCAGCAGACCAAGGAGATGATCATGCCCCTTGGTGCAGGTGAGGCTGCACCTCAAGCACTACATTCAGTTTTGCACCTCTCATTACAAGAAAGACACGGAGGCCCCGGAGAAAGGCCACGACAAGCCTGGAGCACATCTTATGGGGAGCAGCTGAGGGAATTGCTCAGACAGAAGAGGTTCAGGGGAGACCTTAGTGCTCTGTACAACCAGTTGAAAGGAGGTTGTGGTGAAGGAAGTGCTGGCCTCTCCTCCCAAGTAAATGCAATAGGACAAGAGGTAATGGCCTTGAGTTTTGCCAGAGAAGGATCAGGTTGTAGTTTAAGAAAATTTTTTTCTCAGAAAGTGGCAATTCATAGGAACAAGTTGCCCAGGGAAGTGGTGGAGTTGCTGTCTCCAGAGGCATTCAAGAAACTAGGAAATGTGACATGGTTGAATGGGGATAGGTCAATGGCTGGATGATATGATGGCAGGGGGGTTGGTCTCAATGACCTCTAGAGGTCCCTTCCAACCCCTACAATTCTGGGATTCTAGAGGTATTTTCCACCCTTAGTGATTCTATGATTCATCTAGTAAATTTTTACACCAATTTATTCAGAACAGACTGTGATTGAAGTTCCCCCTTCCTGTACCTGAGAATACCAATAGCCTGACAAAAAGCCCTTTCAAAAAGAATGTTTGTAGCAGCACATGCAATTTGGCTGAGCAAATAGCATTTTAAAATAAAACAAATGCTCACACACAGCTACTTCAACACCAATTTACTTTGCATTATAATTACCCGTGAAGCTAGCTTGTTGTATTTCAGTCAGGCATCCAATTTGCTTCAAATATCCATCAGTGCATGAGTGTAGTCAGCAGTTTCCTTTGAGCAAAATTTTCTAAGGATATCTGCCTTCCCAGCTATGCTTAGTGAACAAATCTCCCCAAACCCTACAAGGAAAATTCTTTCAGGAGACAAAGCTTTGGTTTACGGAACTTTTAAAATTTTTCTGGTTTTATTTATTAGTCTTAAATTCAGTTCAGTACCAGCAGTAACCACAGTGATGGATAGGAGGAAGAGAACTGTGCGAGAGTGGTTCTGTCACCTGCCATCATTCTGTTTTTCTTTTAACAGTTGTTTTCTTTCCTGAAGGGAAAAGCGCTAAATCTAGCGCTGAGTTTAGCCAGCAGCACTTAAGTTTGCAACAACTCCCAATAATATTCTAACTGCAGTTTCCCTTTTATCTACTGATACAACATGGCAGTGTTTGACACCTTTTTAGACTTGAAAAGACTTTATCTTGTCTCAAGTAGCAGCTGCCATTAGTCTCTTTCACCCCATCTCCCCAGTTTCTTTGTTATATAGTAGCATACAGCCAAGCCCATGCTAATCCTCAAAATTCAGCTTAGATACCTCATTCCCAAATTAGAAAATATTTCTGTCAACTGCATATTGATTTCATTGATCAATTCTGTTAAGATAAACACAATGATTTTGAACAAAATTCTTGTTAGCAGCATTTGAGAACATACTCAAGTACATCAGTAATACGTCCCAATGAAAACAAGTAAAAGCAATTGCAGCTCAGTAGTGGGCTATACAGAAAATAAGGATTTTTTGGATCATTTTCCACGATATATACATACATATATATACATATATACATATATATATATATGTATTATATATATTTATATATATATATATATATACATATATATATATATATATATATATATATATATTTTCCCCTATGTGTACATTCCCTGTATCAGTACTTTATGACTTTCTGGTTGATTTCCCCATGGAACTGAAATAGAATCACACGAAGACCCCTAAACATTCCCCCTTGTTAACACACGTTATATAAGTGTTCTATGTTAAAGTAGATGTACAATATTGCTTTTAAAATGGAAATAATGGTATATATACTGCTAAGACAGAACCTAAATTTCTGGTCCGTGTTACTCCAGGTATCAACTAAGAGTGACACCCTCATCAGGAGTGATACACCTGATACAGCTTAGGGAGTGCTTTCATAGGAAATCTTTCAGGGAAGTATTTAAAGAATGCATCTCACCTGCTCCATCTTCACAGCAGACATAGTTTTATTGCTTTGTATGAAGCATCCTGATACAGACTGTTTTGGCTGACCAGGATGGATAAATGAAAACATATTCAGTGGTAACAGGCAGATGTGTTACATTCACTTCTACTTGCAACCAGTTCAGCATAATCTTTTAGGAATATTTTCTGCAGACGTTATCTGTTACACTGATTCAATATGTTTAAACATTTTCTTCACAAATGTGAGAGCCTGCAAAGCAGTCAGCGTTGACACTTAGAACAGCTCCAAGGTAGAGAAATTGGCTCTAATCCTCACATTGAGTAAATTACGATAAGGTGAGAACTCCAAATGCATTTAAACTGTGATCTCCCCTCTGCAAAGAATCACAAAGCTGTTGATACCCCCAAGGATAAATGTTCCCATGTTGATTTGCTGCAGTGAGCAGAAATAGTGTGAGAGGTGGTATCCTATGCAGTTATTTTCAAATCTATTCCACTGCAGTTCTTACAAGACCATGAGTGCACCTCATTTCTGACTTTCACAATCCATAAAATACAAATTTGTTGTTAATTATGGCACAGTATTTTTGTAAAATCCTTCAGTAAGGCAGTCTTTCCAGAAATCTGAAAAGCAACAACAACAAAAAACTCCTCCAAAAAATATAGCTTACCACCAGCTTTAAACAAAAATCTAGAGCACAGAAATTCACAAAGTATGGGTAAAAATTTATGATCCTTCCAGTAAGTACAGTGCTGATATTTTATTCCTGAAAATTCAAGCTGCTGATCAGAACCTTCAGTATTCAAAAATCAGCAGCAAGAAAGAAACAGGATCAAACAAATGTGTTTTTCCACGCACGCGCACACACACACACACACACAGTCCGTCCACAATTGACTGGAACATCTGGAATCTCCCCCTTTCTTATTTGCAGCTGACTGCTACTCTGATTCTCCATAGCGTTTCTGTTCTTTCAGCTATATGCTCACATCATCTGGGTGGTGAGCCTCCAGAAGACGTTTCCAATAGTTCTGGAAGCTTTGCTCATCTATATAACTCATTTTTCATTTAGAAAATTTACTACAGATCAGCTTCTGCTACTTGCCATAGGCCAAACTAAGAAGTTACCAATTTTACTAACTACAGATTATATTATCTATTTCTTTAAACACAGCCAGAGTTTTGCTTCTTAACTTCTAAGGTTTCTGCCTTTGTAAGAAATAATTGATTTTTTCATTAGTGCATGAATAATATAAACCAAGGAGAATATAAACCCTGCATTTAAGATGGGCCTTCATTCTGGCCAGAACAAAGAAAAATTATGAATTAAGTACAGGTAAGGAAGAATTTTCTAATAAGCTTGAGAAGGCAGTTTTTTTTTTGTTTATGATCAGTTTGCTTGACTATTAAGAGGAAAGAAAAAACACCTTCAAAAATCAATTGCATTTAAGTTCTCGCTGTAAGATAAAACATTTACAATACACGATACTCTTCAGAGAGCCTGCAATACTGTTATCATATTTTGATTTTCTGTATTTAACCTTTCTCTTCATATACATGAACGTTAGATGAAATTGCATACCACATGTAAATTAAAAATGCCCTAGCTTAGAAACATGTGGTTAAAGCTGCCATCAAATTTTCTTTAATAGCAGAAGCGACAGCCACAAAACCAGAATATTCTTATATGGCTTATTCATTTGGAAGGTGCAAACATTCAAAGAGGTTTATTATAGGGCACAGCATATTATAAATTTAGCTATGCCCAAACATACACCGCAGCATGTCTTCAGATGACCTGTTAGAAATAATCAATATATCCAGCATCCCATAATTTGAAAAGCACAGTTTACACTAGCAGAATTCACTCAGTGGGGCAGATTTGAAAGTTCCAGCTGTAAAGTGCTGTGCTGATTTGCCTTATTAAACACATCCAATAACAGGCATTTTTTGCTAAGTCTGTTTGTATAAGCAGAAGGACTAATAGCCTTAACAACCTGGCAGGGAAAAAAAGACTTCATAATTCAAAAGTACCAATCCTGCTCCCTTGTATACCAGAGTCTGTTGTTTACTCATTCAGAACATAACCAAGCCCATAATATCTGATTTAGTACCTTTGTCATCATTTTAGTTTCAAACTTCAGCACCAGTATGAAGTATTTCACAACACTTCTTATTCATCATGAATGTTTGCACTCCAGTCGACATAGCACAGGAGAAACTAAAGAGCTCTGTAAGAAGTGAAGTTTCAGAGTTAATCGTTACCGTAATTATTTTTATGAGCAACCTAATTACTTTTGAGTCTTCTTTTTAGTCTTTCAGACAGGGGAAGGGGACTGTCTGCCCACGAAGAAATCAGAACATCACTGTCAACTTGTGCAGGACAGGAACCTGTGCCCTGAAACAGTTGTTCTGAACTTTGGAAACAATCAATTTCAACTACAGAGGAATTTTTTGGAGATACTTCCAATGACAAATTCCCACCAACTTGCTTAAAATTGGTGGTTTTCTCCATCCCTTTAATTACAAGTGCTGAGTCACTGCTGGTACTTTTGCCACTAGCAGTGTTATACCTTTTCTTCGTAAAAGTTTTTTTTAACTGGCCAGGGTTCAGTTGCCTTTTCTTCTGCTTACATATTGGATTTTTATTCATGTTCCCATCATCACTGTCCTCGCTAGAAGAGCATTTGCTCTGACACACACTCTTGAAAGAAGTTTTCCAAGCAGTCTGAGTACAAGTTTTTGTTATGTTATGGACAGGAACAACATTTGCTGGCAAAGGAAGAGGCAGCGGAAGCACTTCACACACAGTATGCAACGGCTCTGTTGTTTGCCTGTTGGGGACTCGAGATGTTGAGCAGCTCATAATACAGTCTTTCTGCATCATTTCATGCTGGGTGCCGTTTTCTTTAGAAACAGGTGCACTGGATTCATTTGCACAGGTTTCTGGGAACACGTTTTTAGTGTCTCGTGCTAGTTTATTTAACTGACACGAGGAAGAGAAATAATCTTTATCAAGTTTCAATGCTGCTTCTGTGTGCTTAAAATGTTTGAAAGACTCCAGCTGCATTACATCTTCTGGCAGCACAGACTTTGATGGAACAGAAGTCTTCTTAAGTATACGCTCACTTAAAGACAACTTCTGAAGTTGTTCCATGTGGCCATCCCAAAGCAAATCATCAGCACTATCAGAATGATCTGGATCTGACTGTGCAGCACCAGAATACTGCAAGCTATTTTTCACTGTTCCGTGATGCAGTGGATATGAACGTTTTACGCACGCAGTCAAATCGGGTGCCGGATCACAGGTATTACACCCATGGGTTGGTGAAGTGCTGAAGAAGGTTCCTTTCCCATCAGTGCTGCTCAGTTGTAGATCAGCCCTTACAGAGGATGACACTCCCGAGTTCTTAGTAAATTGTGCTGGCACTACAGATGAGTCAGTCAATGTATTCTTTAAGTGCAAGAAAGGTGATGCTGTCTGAGAAAGTCCAACTGATTCTGACATTTGAACAGATGTTACACAAGAAGCTGCAGTTATCTCTGGATCTTTTGATTCCGTGCTTCTCTGGCATATCTGATACTCAGGTGGAGTTTTTCCATCAGATGTGTGGTCTGGCACAGGAACAACTTCACACTCAGACTTGAAATTCATTTGAGACAGAAAATTGGTAACTTCACTATAAGCATCTGATAACTCCTTTTCTTTTGGTCTGTTTTTCTTGTCTGAAAGAAAAAAAAAAAAAAGCATACAAACATTGTATTTCTCCCACCATTGAGCAATATTTACTTTTGTTTCTTGTACTTTGGTAAGGTCCCTAAGACAAAAATTTTTGGACTTACTTTTCTGTTTCTTTGCCAGAACTTCTGACTTTTCCATTTGGTAAAGAGCAACAACATCTGGATAAGCAGCCTGAAACAAAGGCTGCTCTTCTATTGTAACTACATACAACTCCACAGGCTCATCTTCTGCATCAACATAGTGTTCTATCAAAATTAATGAGTTTATATTAGAAACATATATACAAATATTTCAGAGGATGGAATGAGAAAAAAGTATTTGAGTGTAAGGAAGATATGTAAAGAGACAAATAGCACAAGGTTTGAGGCCTAGCTATGGCACAGCCGTTTGCTTTCTGACAAGCTCCCATGTCATACAGACACACTGAGGACTGAAGTCTGTCATCATGAAACAAGACATAACATGACATGAAAAAGAGTCCAGATCTTATTAACCAGAAAAAATAATTGGAAACCAAGCCTCTTGCTTTCTGGATTAAGTGGTTAAAATGGTTGTTTTTTCGTTTGTTTGTTTGTTTGGGGGAAGGTGTTATTTATGTGGTTTTGTCTTAATTTTCAGCATTGCTCTTGGTTTCAGGGTATCTGAAATGTGACATTTTCTTTCACAGTACTGTTTTCCCAATCTTATTCATACATCTCTTATCATAATGCTATCAAACTATTTTCCTCTTTAAGGAATGCTTTTTTCTATGAATTAGACTGTTCAATAATTAGCACAGAAACAATTCCAACCTGGTTTTTCCCACTCAATTTCAAAACAGGGAACTCCATTTTTAACACGTGTCTTGACTATTCTGCAAGAAAAGAAAGTAACATATTAGATGATTTTGTCTGAACAAGAAATGAGGAATCTAAGGGAGAATCTAAGATACCTAAAAATATTTCACTATTTTAATTTATAATGATTCAGAACAGAAGAAAATAATGTCTGTAGCAGTGAACTTAGCATAGCATTATAAAAATATGCTTTTTTTTTTCTTTTAAATGCACAAGTTGTATACTAAAATTTTGGCTCTAGATATTGAATAGTGATTATTCATTTAAGAGAAATGACACTGCTCCGAGTAGCATAACTGGAAATCAGAACTGTTCTGAACACATAACCCTAATGCAAACTTCCACAAGCATCAGTTTGTTATCTTCAACTATGCCACAACTGTTGCCACAGACAGTAATTTGAACAGATGTTACTGTTCACATATTTTGCATAAAAGCATGAAGTAAGATAGTAAACAGGGCTGTCATTAAGACAGAATGTGAACTGAACAAGGGCAGTCAAAGTTCCTACATGTAAAGAGGTTGGTGCTTTCTCATTACTATGTTTTTAAACAACTGAAAAGAAAATAAGATCAAGATCTGACTTTTAAACTCTTGAAACACTAGACAGAAACATAAACAGAACATATCAATTTTTTTATTCAAAGCAAAATATCAGTAACTTGTCTAATCAACTCATTAAAAAGCAGCCTCCAAACATCACACTCAATCCAGTCACTCTTCTGTAAGATAATGCTAAACAAAACAGCTTCTTCACAAGGAACACTTTAACAGACTATCAACCCATCAATCCAAAAGAGATGATGCCATACTGACATTGACTTCTTTTTGTTTCCAAAAATTAAAGTCCATAAAAAACTGCACAGCACCAAGAAATGGAATGACAAATAAACCTTACAACAGAAGAAAGTAGATCCCCCCAGAACAACCTCTCAGGAAGTTAAATAATTTCTTTCACACTGTGAAGTTAAGCTTAGCTACCTTTTGCCAACAGACACTGTAGATTCTTAAAAGTTTACATAGGCTTAACAAAATATTAGATCATTTAAAAGATCCACTGAGGGCTGACAGATCAAAATGATACCAACTCTGGCCCAGAGAATTCCTGAGTAATGGAAACTGGATGCCGGGAAAATACTGAGATGAAAATTGTTACTTGCATCGCACTGTTTTTCCTGCTATCCATTTTAAGTACCCAGGATCCACGGCCATGTCAGTAATGACAAAGGACTGAACTTTTTTGAGAGAAGGGGTAGCAGAAACAAAATGGAAGGCAATAATTTCACTAGACACAACTGAGTATGCAGATGTTTATTTATAAGTCCATGCTTGTATCTTTTAATCACTGAAGTCAATCAAAATTGACTAAGTATCTGAGAAGTAATCCCTTAAAAGGTAAACCTCATGTGCACAGACCCAAAGAAATAGAATGGAATAGTAAGCATAGAAGAAAGCAGGCTCTGTTGGAACATAAGAAAACTACTGTATGTACAACTTTGTGCAGCAGCAACATATATAATAATATGTCCATTTAAATTTTTAACTCTGTTCAAAATGAGCACATAGCTTGAATCAGAGAGGAAAGAAAATAATTACATTTTTGTAAAAATAAATAAATAAATAAATAAATAAAAATTCCTCCAGCAGCAGAAGTAAAATATTAGGTTGAAGAACACCTGTTGCCTTACCGAATTGCCTGCAGTTGCTTTGAATCAATGTATCCAGATTTTCTCTGGATCATATCATAACGCGTCAGCAGCACTAATAGCTTTTTACAAGCATAATGCTTTGTCCATTCCATCTTCTCAGAAGCAAATATCTGTTAGTGTAAAGCAAACAAAAAAAACCCATGCTTTAAAACTTGCTTACTCTGTTAGATATTAAACTTCAACAGCTGTAGAGTAGAAACACAGAACTAGATGCTTTAAACATGTAAGTTAAAGAAACACCAAACATTATCTCACTACCAAGTGGAGGAACACTTATCTCTGTAAATGAACAGATCTACTTGCTGCCAGTAACAAATTGAAGGAACAGTGATGTGAAAGAAAAGTCATGTTCCAGATGGCCATGCAGAGCTGTCACACTGTGACAAGCTAGGGCTACTAGTTAGAGCCAAAATGGCAGTCCATGGGGTGGTGACACGTGAATTCCCCACTAAGAAAAAGTTCAGGATGGAGCCCTCATTGGGTCACTGATGTGATCTTTTGGGATAGGAAAGCAACGACACTTCTAGATTTCCTGCAACCCAGACAGAGCATCAACTCTGACTGCTACATCATGATGTTGACTAAGCTGAAGGCTCCAACTTCCACAGCCAGGCCAGAGAAGATGACAACACAATAAAGCCAGGTCCATACCAGTTTAAAGATCATGGAACTCTTTGCCAGTCTTGGCTGGACTGTCCAGATTTGGCACCTTCTGACTGCCATCTGTTTAGGCCAGTCAAAGACAGACTGCATGGGCAGTTTTCCTAGCAATGATGCTGCCATAGCAGCTGTGAAACAGTGGGTCACCTCTGCTGGTGCAGATTTTTTACTAATGCAGCATGCAGGTTCTTGCTAATTGGTGGCGAAAATAAATAGCCAATAGTGATGATTATGTTAAAAAAAAAAAGTGCTTTGTAGCAAAAAATTTGCTCTATCAAACCATGGCATTGTGCTCTTTGTAGCTAGTGCAGTTTGCATGAAAGCAAGCAGTAGGCATTACTTTTGGTGCAAACCCTGTATGTCACTTCTGAGTTTTGAGCACTTGGAATTGAAGTGCCTCTGTACCTGGAAGGTGGTAAGATTGTGCTAAATACAGGCCTGCCATTTTCTGGGGGAAAATATGCATAATTCAGAATAAATGTTTCTGCTTGTTATGTATAGAAGCTGGCTGCCTCTGTGATACCAATAAATTATTATTAAAAAAAACAAAACACACAAAACAAAACACACAAAACAAAAAAAACCCCACACAACCAAAAACCTCAAAGCCTGCAAATGTAACTTGAGTTACCACATATATATGCTGGTAAGAGGACAAGGCAAACGTGAGTAAAAACCAAGAGCCACACCTGTTAAAACCTTTACGAAAGGGGGGAGAAAGTTAACATTCCTGAAGCATTATGCCTCATAAACACACCGTATTTTATACACTAGAGATGATCCAATGCTCAGCAATCCACTCCAGTAATGCTAGACAATGAAAAATGAAACAACGGGAAGTGACCTTTTTTCCAAGTTACTATACTTGAGCTCTTCTATATGCCTATTTACATCAACTAATTTTTCACAGTTGCCAATTTTTGACTTTCAAAAAGAATGAGGCGTATTAAAGGCTGTGACAAGGTACTTTCATTATATTTCCTGTAGAATTACCAACGGGGGGGGGGAAAAAATCACAGATGACTTCCCTAAGGGAAAAAATAAGAAAATCCATAGAGCTGAATATTCAATGTTTTCACATATACCTGAAATGACAATAAATTTGGCCTTCTGCATTCCATTATCTTGTTCAGTTTATTCTTGTTTACAAGAAATTCTTGGATAACCTTGAGATAAAAAACAGAAAAGAGGCAGTTGAAGAAAGGGCAAAAAACCTGAAATTTCAATTAATTGATTTGGAAAATTAATCTTTAACTAGGCTTCTTACCTCAGCGAATGGAAAGCCTTCACAACTTTTAGCTTTTCTGCAGGTAAAACAAATGTGTTAGAAACTGAATAACAAATAGGAAAAACACACATTTTAAATGCTCACTCTGCACATGAAAGGGAAAGCAGTTTCTTTTCAAAACATTCCTACTTTCTGATATTGTCCTCCACTGCACTTGCTTGTTTCACTTGCTCTAACTGATGCCATTCACAAGGGCAGCAGTATTTGGAGTCACTGGGTTTGCAGTATCTAGTGCTGTCACAGAATTTACATCCACTGCGCTCATGTTCCTTGTATGATCCTATAGAAGATGCACAAATCACGATGAGAAAGGAGGTTTTAGAAACCCCCAAAAACAATATTAGCAATAAAAAAAATAAAGGTCAGAACACAAATGAATAACAGCTGTAAGCATATCTGAGTATATTAGCTATATAACTACCATAAAAACTGACAAAAATAATGTGTTATTTTTAAAAAATTATTTTCTTAAGACTGTCCCTAACTGTTTCAGACCTTGTGCTGAGGAATTTACCATAAATGAATGCTGCAGAAGTAGCATGGGACATTTTGACAAAATAATAAGTAAAGGAGACATTAGACAAGCTTCTTCCCTCTTCTCATTACCATCCAAAGCAATACCTTTAAATGAGTTCACTGAAGAAACTACAAAAACGAGGTTAGGACTAATTTATTTTGAAGAAAAAGCTACAACAAAATCCAGCAATGGCAGTGGGTTCAGTCCTCATGCAGAGTCAGTTTAGGGAGGAGAAAAAGGAAGTTGCTTGCCATTACAGAGTGCTGTTTTTAGTGACACTGCTAAAAAGGTAAATATCTGGGATCACACAAATGCACTGTATTAACATTCTGCTATCAACTGGTTTCACATTTCAGAAACGTCACTTGCACCCTCAAAAAGTCTCCATACAGATACACAGTGCAGAAAATGTGCAGTCAGAAACTGAATGACAAGAAAAGCATTTTGTAATGCTAGTCACAAAAATTCAACCAGCCAATGACCCCAACATCCAGAATCAAGAGCAAACAAATGATTAAGCTAAAAATAAAATTCTACACTTTCAACACTGACCTGGATGATGGCAGTCAGAACAGTGCACTACTCTTTTAACAACCAAAGGTGGATTATTATCATGCTCAGATTGTTCTTTCCATTGCTCAAACCTATCGGAGTGATATTTAAAGGATTAAGAAATACTTTATACTTTCATACTTAAAATCAAACACCCAAGTAGGCCTTTGCACTTCTCAAGTATTTGCTCAAGAAGTATTTCTTAAGTTAAGAAACTAGATTATTTGTTTTGCAAGTATATCCGTGGTGGATTATGAATATTGACATGCACATTAAGATAACAAACACAGAAAGCATTTAGAACCTCATGTCCTAATCCCAAACCAGCTAAAAAATAAGAATTATCAGTCCTTGTGACTTCTATTCCAATGCAACAGCATACTCTAAAGCTGGGTGTGGATTTAAAACAATCCACAAGTTCACAAAGCACACCATGCAATTCATTTAGGCAAACAACAATGCAGCCACTTGACTCTCAAAAAATTAAAAAATATTACTAGCATTGTGTTGGAGCTGAAGCCCATACCAGAAAGTATGTGAACTAAAAGCACTTCAGCATACAGGGTAAACTTTCACTTTACCTTTGCAGTAAATTTTGACCTCTCAAAGTCTCAATTAATTTTAAAGCTTGTTCTTTTCCAACTCCTGGAACACCCTATAGAGACAGAAATATGAAACATTAAGAAATGGACACATGCAGTACACATATCTTTACTGCCTTTCTAACATTGTGAAATGTTAGAAATAACAGAAATAACAGACTAACAAAAAACAATCCCAAGGCACTGAGCTAAACTGAGAAAAATACATATATTTTTTACAAAATTATGAATAGAAATGGCAAAAGACTGGAGCTACGCAATCAGCGTGACTCACAAGATGCACAGAACAGCCTTATCCTCAAAAGCAACTCAGATTAAGTCACATGTTTTCCTGTTTCCTACTGTCTTTTTCCTGCATTTTCCAACCCCGTTCTTACTCTTTTTCTCCCTCCTATCTGAAACTGGACTCCACATGCTTGCCAGCTATGTGCCAGCCAGCCAGCTGAAACTCTTCATAATAGTTTTGGAAAGACAAAGACTCTCTATCTGAAGTCAAAATGCTGGAAACTCGAGGAGAAAAAAAACCAAAAAAACGACAACAGCAAAAAGCTTTCAGTCACAGGAGAAAAAGCAGCTTTATGGCAAGGAAACCTCTAAAACGAGTTTTTTAGCTGATAGGTGATATACAGTGAATAGTGCAGAAGCATTTTCTGAAAGTTAATTAAAAATCTCAAGCCTTACATAAGTTCGCCTCTTTCCTTGTTTGATTTTGAAATTTACATTATTACTTCTGCAGTACACATGCCCTATATGGGAAAACAGACTACCACTACAGGTAATGGATGTGTAATGAACAAAGCAAGTGCAGTTATATTCAGGTAAGTGATGAGGTAAGTATTCTCACTTACCTGATCTGCCAATCCCCACATCTGCTGCACTCCTGCAGTTCAGCTTTCCTTAGAAGTTCGTATAATTGTTTGCTTTGCTGGGCTGCAGCAACTCAAGACTGGCCTGGTGCTACATAACTGTGCCATTTTAGGACTATGCAAGAACTCAGCATACCAGCAGCTGCTAAGTGCATTACAGAAACTACTGATAAGCCACTATTTTCAGCCCCTCCCCTCCTCAGTAGAGTTTCTTTTGTGATAATGAAGTGTTTACAGATTACTACAGCAGAAGCAAGTCTCGTTAAAGAAAAAAAGAGGAAAGAATTAGAGTGATGCACTCTACCTGTTGCTTAAAAGGACAGATTTATTAAATTGAAACACCATGATTTAAGAGTTAACTTAGACAACCAGAATGGGAGCATTATTGTCTGTGGTCATCATATGATGGATTGTACAGAAATAAAGTTTCATCCCCTTTCCTTTCCATTCCAAAACTGCTCAAAGCCTCAACGACAACAATCCAAGAGCTTTCAAGAAGGAAAAAAAAAAAAGAGACTTTTATTTAGAATGAATTAATTAAGTTCTAAGTTCTATCCAGAATGAGTGTTACTACTAACCGCAGTTCAAACAATGACTACTAGCTATCCCAAAGGACACAGTGTTTTTCTCATTTTCCTCAGCTACTATGTCAGGGTTGTACTATAAGTGCTAACGGGCAGTTCTCATGTTTGCTCAGTATCATTAAACTGAACTTTCACACAATGGAGATGAAGACTGAAGTCAGGATGAACACATCAGATTTAGAAAGATTAACGCTCCACTTTGATCACCTTAAACTATCACAAAAAATTATGACTTATTAAGCATCTGCAGTCTCAGCAATCATGTATTGCACACAGTTCTGTAAGCATGTGAAGTCTTCCTTGATATGCTGTAAGTAATTGCTTACCTTTGGAAGATAATCACAACCCAGAAGAACAGCTAGTCCAATCAAAGACTCTCTGTCACAACCAAGCTTCTCCTTAATAGAGGACATTGTGTAGCAATCAAGATGTGACTCCTGAAAAAGACATTTATCATTTATTTCATTTCTGTGACACCAGGGAAGGAACTGCCATGTCTGCAGTTCTACCCTACAATGGGTCTACCCTACAAAATACAGAAGAGTCTGACGGATAAATCCTATAAAGCAGCAATTAAAGTTTATAATGTAGCACATGGACGCCATGAGAATAACAGCACTTCTAGAATTTCAAGCTGCAAGCATGGATACCAACTATTTAAAAACTACCTTTTAGATAAGAAATACCAACCCAATCTCCTTTTTCCTTCACTTTCATTGTAGGTTTACCAGGCAAAACACATTAAATCTTTTCTCTGATTTACAGAGAAAGTGTCAACTAAGAAAATTTGGTTCTGCCCGTTTTAGAAAAAACACACTCTTAATAAACATTTTCAGCTCAAGGTATAAATTGTTTTTTACTGAATGATCACAACAGCCTGTTAGTTACAATACAGATGCATAATCTCTCTCCTATTCATCATTTAAGACTAAGAGCATTAACGGTAAATATATTTGCAATGAGTAAACCAAACACGTACGATGCACACACACAGACCAGCCAGGAGGCTGACCACTCTACATACTCCAAATGGGGATTTATAGGAAGCAATTTCACTAAAATTCTCCACTGCAGAAGGAAAAAAAACATTGCTTATCTTTATTGCACACCATGGAACACCACAAACAGAGATGACAGTACTCTAAGTGATCTTCAGTTGTTCTGTTCTTAAACCCACTGTATGGATGTCCAAAATGTTTCCATCTTAAAGGACAGTAATAATCAACACAAACTAGTAGATAAGCATGATATCCAAGCAATTGCTTTGAGGGCCTCCTTTTAATTTCCATGTACATTTTTGGGATGACTCTGATGAGCCGGCAAGATCCCCTTTTGATCCTACTGATGTACGTTACCTTAGAGGTCATGGCAAAGTTCCTATAAACTGTTTGAGCTCCATATAAGAAAACATCTCCATCATTGGTAATGCACCCATCAACACTGCCTTTTGCATTCAGGTAAGCACACATTGCTTCTGCTTCCCCAGCTGCTTGAACCCATGGGACACCTAAACACTCCAGCAGCTGGAGGCACTAAGTAAAAGAATCCAAAAGAAAATGTACATTGAATGTTAGATTATATCCACTTATTAGCATGTATTTTGTCAGTTTATATGTCCATTCTGAAAGAGTATATATAAAACATTATATCAATACAATTGCTTTACAAAAGTATCTTACTGCAATAGTCAAAAGAAATACTCAACTAAGACCATTAACTACAGATTAATACATTATACATTAATTACACAACATGGTTAACACTTACTCCTTCACAAAATCTGACTACTCAGCAGTCTGTGCTGGTCCTAGATATGGGACAAACTGTCAGACTGTCCCAAAATATCAAGCACAAAATACAGTACTGTTGGCCCAACTAACACTGGACCACAATTAAAGACATACTGAGATAAATACAAACACATACTTTCTACAAGTTTGAGAACAGAACGTGAATATATTCAGCTACTGAAACCATGAGTCTACATACTTTATTTCACTAAACTCTGATTACACAAGAATGGCAAAACACCTGTGATAATGAATTAAAATGAAAATTACTGAACAGAAGTTCTTTGCAGACAAAGCTTCTCAGGTAATGCAACAGATTTCCAAGAATACACCAAATAACAAGGAAGCTGCATTTCTGTAATAAGCACTCAGTTCCACATGTGGCTCACTGCAGCATAAAACACAGAGATGCATCAAACAAGAAAACTGTTCTGATACTGCCACCCTACTGCAATAATCAACTGATGGAAAACACAACTGCAAGAGGCGTGCTCCCTCTAATTCCAAATACTGTTGAAATTTGTTCTGCAGAAAACTACTAATTCTTTTGAGTTCATCTTCAAACTGTTAAAGGTTTCTATCACGTTTAAAAAAAAAAGTACCAAGACACCCCAGTTACTCACCTCTTTCAAAATAGATTTAAAAAGAGATCTCCCTGTTCTTGCAGCCCCATGTTTGTTGGAAGCTCCGTATCGCACCTCATTTCTCTTACTCATGGTGTCTGCCTTCAGCTTGGGGGCCTCGCCTTCCATGACAAACACCAATTTAATCCCCATTGACGTGAAAAAAGAATACCGAAAAAACAGGTTTCTGCAATAAAGTAAGGTGTTCCAGAATTAAGGAAAACATCTAAAGAAATCAAGTTTCCTTACATCCCTCAGGCTACTCCAGGGACAGTCACACAATGATACACCACCTTAGGTTGGAAGGGTCCTTAAAGATCATCTAGTTCTAACCCCTTGCTGTGGGCAGGGTTTCCAACCTCTAGATCAGGCTGCCCAGGATCCCAACCAAAGCCTTCAGAGACAGAGCATTCAGAACATCTCTAGGCAACCTATTCCAGCACCTTGCTGCCCTCTGAGTAATAAACTTCTTCCTAAGATCCAACAAAAATCTCCCCTCTTTCAGTTCAAAAAAACCATTTCCCCTTATCCTATCACTATGACACCATGTAAAAATTCTCATAAGCTCTTGTAAGCTCCCTTTGAGTACTGGAAGGCCACAATGAAATCTTCCCAGAGCCTTCTCTTCTCCAAGCTGAACAAGCCCAGTTCCCTCAACCTTTCTTCATAGGAGAGGTGCTCCAGCCTTTTGATCATCTTCATGACCCTCCTCTGCACCCTCTCCAACAGCTCCATATCCTTTCTGCACTGGGGGCCCCAGGCCTGGATGCAACACTCCAGATGGGGCCTCACGAGGGCAGAGTAAAGGGAGACAATTACCTCTCCCTGCCCCTGCTGGCCACCCCTGTTAATGGAGCCCAGGATACTGCTGGTCTTCTGCGCTGCACAAGCAGACAGCTGGCTTACGTTCAGCTTTTTGTCCATCACGACCTCCAAGTCCTTCCCTGCAGGGCTGCTCTCAGAGAGTTCTACTAATTCTCTACTCTTACCTGAGACCGCCTCGACTCAAGTGCAACACCTTGCACTTGGCCTTGTTAAACCTCATTAGATTCCTGTGTCTAAGAATTTAGCTCAATCTTGGCTTGCTCTTCTTCTCCCATGATTTCCTTATTCCCAGGCAATAAAACTTATTTATTTTCTTGTCTTTACTTGAGGTTGTTTCACTACCAACTTGTAACAGCATTACAAGATTTCCAAGCAAATCCTCCTAAAAATACTCTTTGTCTTTACATTCTAAGAACCTGAAAAAATTTTAAAAGCCACATAAAATGCACTCTTCAAAATCTGCTTCCAAGTACATCTGCATTGATTGTTTTGTACCATTAAGCCCAAGTCTATCATGCTGGTATATCTGATGTAAATGACCAATACTGTTGTTACACAGATGCATAGATACCGTTATTACACCAACTTATTTCATATGGAAATACAAAATTCTTCCCACCATTGATGTACAAGACAGCAATAATTACCTGGTCTACAATAGCTATATTCAGAATAATCACATAGTATATGCCCTTCCCTATAATTCCTGGGTTAATCTTTCAAACAAGAGCAAGCTAACATTTATAACACTTCAATTGACACGGAAAGACCATTACTTTAGATTTAACTCTGTATAGTTGTTATGGGTAAAAGAGGATAAGCTGATCTCTTGAGGCAAGTTCTATTTTTATAACATATATATAAATCCAATTAAATAGTAGTTTCTCTAGAATACTTAGAAAAATAAGTTACTTTCCATCTACCTGAAATGGTATCTTTTTTTTTTTTTTTTTTTGGTAGAAATCCATCCATCCCTTCATTTCACTTTTGAAAGATTGTGCAAGGTATCTGGGCTGATGTTTCCATTCCACTGCATGTAAGACTTAATATCATAGAGAAGTGAAGAACTCATGTTAAGCTTCATTCTCTAGTTAATTATCCAGTCTTAGTAACAAAATGTTAAGAAGTGATTCTAAGAAGATACTAGTATTTCATATCAAAGAAACTCAACAGATGCCACAGAAATATCTAACAGCAGCTATTAAGCCAATATTCCTGTGCTGACCAGTAGCTGCTCATTTTTAAAAACCTGCATGTAGTTTCACAATACCTACTGTCAGCATCACTTGCACAAAACAGCACTCTCAGGTTATGGTTGCTTATACTTGCTCGTATAAATTGAAGACAAACTTCAATGTTGCTTTTAAGCCTGATGAATGATTTAAACACATTTACTTCAGTATGTGATCTAACTAGAATTCCAAATCATAAGCAAAATCAGGCTGAAGTACGCATGACTCCTGGTACATTATGACTCTACCAGCCTCCAAACAGCAGTCATAAACAGCTTAAATTTCCCTAGCAACTTCCAACACAGCCTCAGGAGTACATGGCAGTGAGTATGCTGACTTTTTTCTTGCAGCTTGATAACCTGTACATCATGCAGCATAGTACCACAGTAAGACTACTACAGCCTTGCTTGCAGGCCTCTCACCCATTGATGAGGCCTCAATAATGACACACCTGCTTCAACCAATTCTCCTGTTTGCAGCCATGCATTAAGTTGAATTTAACCAGTACGACTGTGCCTTCATTTCAAACCCTTTATGTACACAGCACAGGTTATAATAACAGAATCAAAGCAACACAGTAATTTGAATATTGGAGCTAACGAGTCATAAGTTCAGAACAACTAAATCATACAGTTCTAGAACATTTTGTTACAGTTATCTATATGGATACCATACCTCAGATGTGGCTTGGTAACTACTCCGATCATCTTTTTAACAGTCTGTGCTTCACAAACCCACAGACTTAAATCGACAGCAAGTGTCTTTCCTTTGAGACTACTCAAGCTTACAGGCTGCCTCACAGGCTCCAGGATTTGCCACAGATTAGTCACTCCCATTGTTCTACCTTCTTCGTTGTCAGCAGGAAGGTTTTAGCTTTGAAGACTAAGGAAAATAAAATATTTTCATCAAATGAAACAGGACATACTATGAACGTTAAGACCAGAACACAAATACCCAGACATTATCAGTTTTGGTTTTAGGAGCAAAGAACACACAAGCACTCTACAGATGGTTTATTACTTGGTACCTTCATTGCATTACATATTATCATTTCTAACAGTCTGAATGTAAAAACAACCATAATACAATATAACACAATATAAATTCAACTGAAACAAGTAAACCAAGCTATAAATTACTTCTAAAGTATCCCACACATAACTAAATTCCAAGTCTTATTTAAAAAGAAAGAAAACAATACCCACACTCTCCAAGGAAGTTCCTTCAAAAAACCATTTTTGAAGTTGTAACAGCATAACTCCAAGAACATGTTAACGTCTCTCTTCTTGCTACTTTTACTTTTTTAATGTGTGACTGGCTCTAAAGTACCTCTAAGGAACACCAGCTGATAACATACATCCCCTAGGCAGTACATTTCTTTGTCTCTTATTTTTTTTATGCAGCTGTCATCCATATTACTCCATTACTGTTTCCTTTTCTTCACTTTTCCTTGGATAGTTCTGGTTTTCATATCTTGCTGCTTCTATATGAAGCCTCTGACTTGTAAAAGAGAGGGAAAACCCTCACAGTATCCATTTATTCCTGCACTGCCTTATCACATCAAGTTTGCCTCATGCTTATTTAAGTTTCTCTCAATTCCCTCAATATCAAAAGACAGAAATAAGATCTCAAATATTTTTATTTCTTGTGTCCAGAATTTGAAACTGTACACACACAAAGAATACACTTCCCTCTTTTCGAAACTGACTTGATGAACTCTGACTTGCTTAAGACACATGAGGACATTGTGATATAATTTTGTTGCCTCTTGTGAGCAGAGCCACATCAAAATCAAGAAGCTTCCTCATCCAACACCTGGCACAAGTCTCTCCTTGCAAGTTGTTTTGTACTGCTTTAAAACAAGGCAGCCATTCAGGAATGTAACACTTCTACCACTGCAGGCATTCTATACTTTTTTTTTTTTAAATCATATTCTCAAAGAAAGCTTTACCATCAACACAAATTGCGTTTCTGTAATCCTTCAAACACAAAACCCGGTTTTAGTCGTACGCACTCAAGGCATAACACAGTAAAATTACCTTGCTGCTGTTATGCCTCAGGATATAAAATGAGTTAAAATTAGGAAAAAAGCAAACAAACACGCAGCGTTACTTCTTGAAGCACAGAGCGATCCGTTTCTCCGACGTACCAGGGGAAACCAACAGACGCACACAAACCTTCTCCAAAGACACGTGGGGATGCAACGGAACGACAGAAAGGGGCATCCTTCGGTCTCACAGAGATGGAGGCTTCTAAAGACAGAGGCTGACCCTGGTTTCCTTTCTACATGCAGACGAATCGCCGGCGATAAGCACAGCATCGTAAGATCGCTGGCAGGAAACATAAACTAAAACACATAAAAAACACACACAAACCTTTTCAATGGAGCACAGCTGAGGCGTTCAGCACTCCGTCCTCCCGCCCTACAGCTGTGCCCACGAAGAAGCACTCCCTCCAATTTAAACACTTGAAACTCCCGCCTCGATCCAACCGCAGTCCCACACAAGCGCAGGGGCCGCCTACCCGCGTCCCGCCCGAGCCCTGGAACTCTCCTATCCGAGGACGCCGGCCACCATCCCTCCACCGCAGACGCTCACCCCGCACATCTCCGCTCCGCCCTCCCGAAAATGGCGGCGCACGGAAACGGCCCCTCGGCGGGCGGCGGGCAGCGCGCATGCGCCGCGCTCTTGGCGGCTCTTCCGTTACGCATTCCCTTCCGCGCCGCTGCCTGAGGAAGCGGTGTTTTGCCCGCGTTCAACTTTCTGCCGGTCAACGGTCCCGCCGGCGGCGAGGGCAGGTAGGGCGAGGAGCGATTGACCCCGTGGGGCTGCAGTGGTTGGGGGCGGCTGCGGTGGAGCGAAGGTTGCGATCGTTTCCCTGGTGAGGCCGCACCTGTCCTGTTCTGCGTGCTATGTGTAGTGAATGCACCCTGTCTCCCTATGCTGTGGCTTTAGTGATGGGAGCACTTCTCTGCTGTCAAGTGTAAGAGTGCTTATCCTGTATTAAGTGATACTGTGTTTTCCTTTTATGCTCTTGTTAGGTGCATAACAATTACTTGTAATAATTTGCATTAATTGGTGATGTTTTTATAACTGGATTTGTCGTGCCCATATTTCTTCATGGTTGTTGCTGTGGGCTTTGTTTGTAACTGTGCTTGTTCATTCCATGCTAGTAAGTTTCATGCTCTTTACTGAATTGATGCTTTTGTATTGTCTTTTGCAATGGCAGTCTGATTATCACTTATATTACTGATGTTCCTGAATTTGTCATCACAAATTTCCATTCACTGTCCTATATATGGCAATATAGCCATAAATTTAGACTTTGAATTTAAAATATGATGTATGTTGTGTCTAGTCCTTGTAGCAAACTTCTGTTAACCTTTGTCAATATTATTTGTTGTTGACTTCCCATTAACTTATTTTATGTCTTAAAATGTACTAATGTTTATTTTTGCCAGTTGATGGAATTCATACCGCTGGTCTTTAATATTAATTACAGCATTTAAGACATGTATTTTTTTTCTTCTTCGTCGAGTGGGATTTCAATGGAACAACAGAGTGGACAAAGATCTATCTTCATGTTAGAGTAATGGATAAATTCCAAGGATTTACAAGTAACCCTTTGCTGATATGAGTTACAAAGAGATGGTTCTATAAGAGACTGAAAGTAACACAGTAAAAGGTATGTAACTGTATGATGAAATGTATTTGTTGCTTGCTTTACAAGTATGGTATTAGACTGTGTAACGTAAAAGAACATCAGCTGGGAAGTTTATTGTGTTTCTGTCTTTTGAAACTTCTCCATTACACTTAATAGGAAGAGTTGTATACTGTTTTTTATCAACTGTGTGCACTAAGACAACGAGGAAATTATTAAGCACTGCTTATGAAAGTCAAGGAATAGTCACAGAAGAAATTCAGTAGTCTTTGTAGTGGTGTCATAAATTGTAATGTCTGTGGTGTTTGATGTAATAAATGCTACTGCCTGTGATGCTTGTAAGTATGAGTCTTTTGTCTGTTGAAATCAGGCTAATGTTATAGCAGAACATTAAGATGGCTCAGGTAGAAGAACAACAGAATTCTAGGGTTTGTAAGTGACCTCTAGAAATCATCAAGGCCAGCCCCCTCCCCCCCAGCTAAAGCAGATTCCCTACAGTAGGTGACACGGGAAAATGTGCAGATGGGTCTATCTTGAGCAGAAAAACATTCCAAAATGTTTCCAATTACTCCACATATTTTGGTATCAAAAAATCATGTGGTGGATATCAGTTGAAGCATGGTCAGAACATTTATCAATAGTATGGACTACTATTCCATTGTGTGTTGTCTTTGTAGAAATGTGACCTTTTTTTCTTCTATGGCTGAATGTGATCTTGCTTGCCTTCTGTAGTGTTTTCAGTCTCTAGATGTTACGAATGTAGAAAGTGTTTTTTGAGGAATAAGAAGCACATCCTGTTGCAGAAAAGACTACATTTTGACTAGTCTTAATACTTGATGTTTTGATTATATGTGACTTGAGTAGACTTGGTTACTTTTGCAAGATTCGTTTGGTAGCCACATTAGTGCAATGGGTTATTTCTCAATTTGTAAAGGAAGTATTTGTATATGCATACACATGTAGGTATGTTCTCAGAGAACTGTAATTCAGTTTGCTTTTCATGACAGAGATAGAACCTTACAAAGACATGTATGCTTTCTGCAGAAACTGCATAAATCTAAATGATCCTCTCTTTTGCTTTTTGGTATCTCAGATAGAATCTAGGTTGACCTCTGTTGGTAATCCAGAAACTCAACTTGATTAGAATGATGAAGTTGTTTTTCTTCTTATTATAAAGCCTTTTGCAAAATAAGCTTAAGCTTAAATTCACTGAGATTTTAGTTCAATGCAACATTTGCTATGATCTTTATATTTCTTGTGTCAATTTAAATAAATACAGTCTGTGTTGTTATCTGTTGGTGTGTTCTCATTTAACAGATAGGTTTCAATCTGTTACTTTCATGTTTTCTCAGTACTCATGGGTAAGAGAAAGGAAGAAAGTGTTTCAAAGCCTCCATCCCACAAAAGACAGAAACAAGAACACACAGATGAACATAGTGATGAGTCTGGTGATGAAGAAAACTCACTATTTTCAGCTGATAATAGCTGTTTCTCTTTAACATCAGTAAGTTGTTCTAAAAAATCCCCCTAAAAATTGATATTTAAAAAAAAAAAAGTAAACCTGTGGCTTTGGTTGATTTTTTTTGAAGTAAGTCTTAAATATAGGATTCAATGGAACCAATACAACAAAATGAAACAATTAGAGTTAATGACTGTAATAGGACTTCTGAATGAGTTCACTCTTTTTTTAGATCATGTATTTTTGGCAGTTGATCATAAAGCAATGTGTAGGTCACTTGAAAAGTGGTGCCTCCTATTTCACAGAATCATAGGATTGTTTGAGTTGGAAGGAGCCCTTAAAGATCATTTAATCAAACTCCTGTGCAATGAGCAGGGACACCTACAGTTCCATCAGGGTGCTGAGCCCCATCCCTCCGATTTTGAACATCTTCAAGGACAGAGCTTCCTCCTCCACTCTGGGCAACTTGTTCCAGTGCCTCACTACCCTTTTGGTAAAAACTGCTTCCTTATATCCATTCTAAATTTCCCATCTTAGTTTGAAACCATTTCCCCCTTGTCCTGTCACAAAAGACCTTGCTAAAGAGTCTGTCCCCTTCTTTGTTATAACCATCTTTTGAATATTGCAATTCTGTTATCAGATCTACCCAGAGCCTTCTCTTCTCCAAACTGGATTGCTTCATGTGTAAAAAAAATGACACATATTCAGTGATACACCTTTGCTTCATCTGCACTTCCATGTCTGATGCCATTTTATCACATTGCCACTCTGCTGCACAGAACAAAATGTAACGGAATGCTGGCAAGAAGGTTCAACCTCTACTCCCATCCCACCACCATCCACATCTGACATTATGAAGCAACATAATAAAATAGGAGGCACTATAGCATAGTATGGTATCCTAGTTTTATGGAATGAATACTACTGAAATTGACAAGTAAAGCAAAAAGACTTTACAGAATTATTGCATTAGGAAAAGTAGAAAGTGTATTTAGAAAAACATGATTTGCTGAAAAAAGCACTGAATGCTTTCATTTCATAGCTGATGCTTGCAAACGAATAACAGAAATGTTTGAAATGCAATGAAACTTGAAGACGTGAATATTCTTTTCTCTTTTTCTGCAGTAGTTGAATTTCAAGTTCGATGGTAGTCTTTTTAAAAATATTTACTGAGCTTAAATATATAGCTTTGCATATTATAAGATACTGATGTTGAGTTATAGAGAGATATAAATTGAGATACTACTCTTCATTTTCTTGAATAGTATTCTCTATTCTGTGTCACTCCTGAAATTTTTTCTTGGTTAGAAAACTTTTTCACAAGCATTGATAATAAAACAAAAATCTGTTGTCAGAAAAGTACTTTGGGAGTTGTACATGAAGTGTTATTTCAATAACAAGAAGTCTTTCTATGATACTCCTTATTAACTGCTCTAATAATTGTTTGTAATGTATGATCTTAATCTTTGATGTTATGTAAAATAAAAGTTAGAGAGATAACTGATCAATTTTCACTAACTGTTTTTATCTTGATTGACATAATAACTGTTCTGTAATGAGCAATTTTCATAGTATCATGGATGAATGCTGATTTCCTTGTGGTTTGTTACCATTCATGCTTTTTATCATAGTAATTTGAATTCTCATTATATTTAAAGTATGTGAAATGTGTTTCATTAAAACACACAAGTGACGTAATATCTGACGTAATATCTGATTATTTAGACTGTAGGGGAAGCTGGGATAATTGAAAGTATCCAGCTGAAGAACTTCATGTGTCATTCGATGTTGGGGCCTTTTCAGTTTGGATCGAATCTCAATTTTATTATTGGAAACAATGGAAGTAAGTACTAATTGTATCGTTGCTATATGGAAGAACACTTTTGTTGAGACTTTAAAATGTATAATTTCTATTTGAAAAAGAATTGCTAGTTCATCTCTGAATCTTTGGGGACTGTATCATAGAATCACCAAGGTTGGAAAAGACCCACAGAATCACCCAGTGCAATCATCCACCAGTCACCATTTATTCTCACTAAACCATGTCCCTCAACACAAAATCCAAATGTTCCTTGAACACCTCCAGGGTCAGTGATTCCACCACCTCCCTGGGCAGCCCATTGCAGTGTCTGACCACTCTTTCAGAGAAGCGGTATTTCCTAACATTCAGCCTGAATCTTCCCTGGTGCAACTTGAAGCTGTTCCCTCTAGTTCTATCACCAGGTACATGAGAGAAGAGGCCGACCCCCCCCCAGCTCACTACAGTCTCCCTTCAGGTAGTTGTAGAGAGCAATAAGGTCTCCCCTGAGCCTCCTCTTCTCCAGACTGAACAATCCCAGCTCCTTCAGCCGCTCCTCATAAGGCCTGTGCTCCAAACCCCTCATCAGATTTGTCCTTCTTTGAACCGCTCCAGGGACTCAATGTCTTTCTTGCATTGAGGGGCCCAAAACTGGACACAGTACTGGAGATTTGGCCTCACCAGTGCTGAGTACAGGGGGACAATTGCTTC